AAAAGACACTCAATCTTTCGTGACTTTTGAAAATTGATTAACAAGAGGACGGTGAATACATTAAGCTACGTATGAGTAACACGACAGTTTTTATGGGTTTTTATGTAATAGTCTTCATAAATGGCCTCAGATTTTATGAGTTTTCTATATCAGGCCTGCAGAACAACATGCCCGGTGGCCCGACATAGGTCGATGTCCAATCTGGGGTCAGTTATTTAAACAATTATACATCAAATTTTATAACATAAAATGAGCATGTACATTTATGTTGTGTACATCATTAAATGACTTTAAAACAAGAACAAGTTCTCCTGTTGGTTTTCCTATTAGAACGTCCACTCATGTATCGCTACTGTCAACACTTACAACGCTTTTCAATATCCATAACTTTATTCACTGTAATTGTTATTTCCAGTCCATAGTTTCGCGCAGGTAACAAACACAACAAACGGGTTTTAATTTCTAAGAGGGTCAATAATTAACACTTGGGTCATGTAGCACATGATTGAGACCTGGATTTGGGCTGATATGTTTAGAAGCGGTCGATATTTGGATGATATCGGTAGATTATTATACGAGCGGGCAATATCGACAGCTTGAAAGAAAAAATAATTACTGGTACATATACATTTTGAGTGATATTTGAAGCAAGTATATATTGTGATCCATTAAGGCACTAGATCGCATCTAACTAATATTTTCTTAAATGTATTTACATGTGTAAGAAGAAAAGTAATAGCGGCAGTGCGATCAAAATGATTTGGTACATTTTCAAGGCAATCAACGCCATGGTCAAAACAAAGATATTGAACAGTTATATTACACAATTACACGAAATTACAAGACAAAACAACAATTATCCAATTTCAACTCTGCTGAAAAATATATGGATTGAAATCTGACTTTAAGGACATTTGATTTCACTTAAGAACAACCTGCCATATGCATTGTTAATTTAGTACTAACTCCTAAAAAGTAAATGAAATCCTGAGTTTACCGACAAAAGCTTTGTTTAGCCGACTAAATGATCAAGTCCCTTTAATGTCAGGAAAATAACTTTCCCAAGTATTCCATCAAGAAGCATATACGATACACCAGGGGTTACGCTCAATTACACTCACGGCACACTGGGATATGTTATGACGAACTCGGAGGCTCAGTAACTTCCGAATACACCAACAGAATCGCGCGGCAGCGTGACGTAAAAACTGACCGGCTTTAAAGTTGGATTTCGTTCCCTGTGATCTTCAAAGGACAGGAATCGTCTGGCGATTGGTCAGGTTTGTTTTACCTAAAGCTTACTGTGTACCTTTGACATATTCCAGGGGTACAGAGAGCGTAAGTGAGCATAAACCATTGAGTATCGAGAAAGGTCAATGAGGAGTCGACATAAATCCAACAGCATATCACATATATATTTGGTCGATAAAAAGTGTTATTAATATAATAATTTCTTTTTAAAAATGCCCCGGCTACTGTGATACCGTAAGGCAGAATATGTCCAAATCAAGAGTAATACAAAATGTTTAGAAAATACATTGTCTCATACATCTAATAGTTTTGTTAAGGATTTGTGTAATAGGATACACTTATTTGTTGTTACTCAATATTCTGTAATTAAGCCTACTCGTTTGAATATTTGACACTGTATATACCGCTAGTCCTGTCTCTGTGCTTAAACACCAAATATTTATTAAATTAATGGTAATAATTTGGATCGAATGGAAATTGAAATAATCTTATAAGTCAGCCAACCGCAGTATAGGTGGAAAAATTCGATATGTTGTTATGAAAATCGATGAAGTTTAAGAATCCCTTTCCCGAAACTGTACTGAGACCGTTAATACACTGGCAAGCTATCGGTTTGATTAATAATTTCTGAAAAGAAAATTATACCTTGCAGGGCTTCTATGAAAATCAACATAAAATAAAGAAAATAAATTCGACAACAATATTCTGAGTGTAAAAATTCAGGGGGGCTAGATCGCGATCCGAACCCTAAACTCCAGATTATCATACTCTAACCGACTTAGCTACCTGATCAATGGAAGTTTCCTGGCCCATATGTGGTACAGTTATATCCAAAACGAAATCAAGCGGAGAATACTGTACGATAAACAATATTCAGTGGGGCAGGGATACGTTGGAGAAATCTGTTCAAACCCACTTTGTCATTGCTTTTGATATTGTATAGACAAAACACTGATTTAAATAATTTGTGATGAATTATAAATCTTTTTGCAGTACATGTTGTTTTTACCAAATGGACATAGATGGCGCAGCCTTCTTCGGGAAATACATTGAGCTAAGCGGTCGTGCCCTTTAAAGTAGATTAGAAATGCATAAATCTGACAATTTGATCTCCATTTCCTTTGTATCACACCTACCACTCAGGCCCGTGTTCTGTTGAGTGATCAGTTTATGCGTGTCATATGATTGATATAAACTATTAATGGGCGTCAAATCAGCATATATGTCTATGGCGAGCTTGCTCTTTCTCATAACTCTACAAGAATAATATACGTTTTATGATAAAACAGCGACGTCTATCACCTGCTGCAAAGGACGTTTGTAAATTATTAAAAAATAAAGTTAAATTAATTAAAATTTTAAATCTTTTTTTTCAAAATGTCGTGACATTTATTTGAAATTGAAGCTTTTATTGTTTGTTAACAACTCTATGCATGCAATGGATTCGCGTATCAGTGCAATTTGACTTACTAAATGACATTTTGAAACCTGAAACATGTGTATTTGACAAGTTTATTATCAATTTTTAGACGAACTTGTCATACATGATTGGGAGAAGCAATTCAAAACCGATAAAGTATGAAACGGTTGTCAACAGGGGTTCTGATAAGCTATTATGACATCAACAAAAATCCATATTCAACTCAATTTAATAGGTTTTAATCTATCAGAAATTGCTTTGAAAATTGATGAGCGCGATCATTTACGAAAAATACCACGTTTTTAATTTAAAAGTGTTTTTCCGGTGTCTTTTGACTATGAAATATTTAAAGCCAAAATTTAAGATGGAGGCCATAACCCATAAAGCTTACAGGTAATTTTAAAGAGAAGGAACTCATATGGTAGTAAATTAGTTTTTGCGTGTTCTAATTTTATATGCATAAGCGTAAAAGTGATATATAGATCTTCCATATTATAACTTATCGAGTAGGTTAAGTCATAGTTATGTTAAAATGACGTCACACTTTCAGTTATACCTGCATGTACATTGAAATAGATCATTATTTACGCCATCAGTTACAAATACTGATGGCCTCTTATAAATCTTTCTTAGGCATATTGATAACTTTAAAATATATCAATAAAACAATAATTAGGCAAACTTTCCGAATATCTACATTCACTGAAGAAGAAATATACGACTCTCACATAAAAAACTAAACGCAATGTAAACGGTATGCAATATATGAAATTTCAAGAATAAAATATCTACCCCTGGTTGTCCCTTACCAGTAATTAGGCGATCACATGATGTCAATGGCAACGCCTCAGAAATATACGCCTATGTGATGCTTAGCATGTTTCCTAAGACACGTGACGTCATTTCATCTCTCTGGTGGAAAGATCGCGACTCGAACATTCACAAATAATAATAATAATAATAATAATAAATAAATAAAAGATAAAAAGCACCACGATTAAAAATGAGAAGAATCAGATCCAGGGACCTTTGTTAGAAAAATGAAAAAAAAAACTGAAAAAAACCCCACTTTCACCATATCCAACAGATGGTACCGTTAGTAAATCTTTTTCGCCTTCCGTTTTGTAACCTAGAGTGAGCTAAATTGAGCTGTTGAATATTAAGCAAACGTTGATAGATGAATATCGAATCTGGTAAAAAATATTTACTCTCCAAGACAAGATGCTTGCCACCTAATGGCAGAAAAAAACTGTCAATAGGTGTCTATTACATTCCTGTAAATAAGACATTGATATTCGCGTTTTTTACGAGAGTAAGGTACGATAACTCCAGGTCAATAAACCACTATAGAAACCGTTTGGGTTAATTACGGTAGATTGGTTGATTTATAGGAAACTTTACGTCTTCATAATATCTGTGACTTTTAACGGTTGTGTTTTAAAAGCTGACGGGGCCATTTAGGGGTTATTTAAAAGTGTAATCACACTGAAATGCTACTACCTGGAATCAGAAACAGGCATCCCTCCTGGTCATACTGTTCTGAAAAATGACTAATGATAAGAACTTAGGGCAACATAACCTCAAGGAACGTGTAGATCAGATAGAAATAGAGAAATCAAGTGTTTCAAATGAGGCAATAGATCAAAATAATGCATTATAAAGTGTACGGGTCATATTAAATTAACAGAAAGTAAAAAAAACAATTTTTTGAAGGTAAAAAAAAGAAAACTTTTTAGTTCACCAAATTTATGCCTTCAGAAGGAATTCGCCCAGTGTTTCATTTTTGTTCCCCATCAAATATGCACTCTTGTGCAAGAACGAAAAAGAAACGTGGTTAACATTTCCTGTTTTACAGAAACTAAATGACAAACGACAATGTAAGAGGTCAAAAGCCAATATATCCAAAAACGTAACACAGCAAAACGTAAACACCAACGAAAACGTAACACAACGAACGTAAACACCAACGAAAACGTAACACAACAAACGTAAACACCAACGAAAACGTAACACAGTAAACGTAAACACCAACGAAATCGTAACACAGCAAAACGTAAACACCAACGAAAACGTAACACAGCAAACGTAAACACCAACGAAAACGTAACACAACGAACGTAAACACCAACGAAAACGTAACACAGCAAACGTAAACACCAACGAAAACGAAACACAGCAAAACGTAAACACCAACGAAAACGCAACACAGCAAAACGTAAACACCAACGAAAACGCAACACAGCAAAACGTAAACACCAACGAAAACGCAACACAGCAAAACGTAAACACCAACGAAAACGTAACCCAGCAAAACGTAAACACCAACGAAAACGTAACCCAGCAAACGTAAACACCAACGAAAACGTAACACAGCAAAACGTAAACACCAACGAAAACGTAACAAGCTTAGATCAACAAAACCAGAAAGTGGGACAAGCAAAAGTAAAACAAAACTGCAACGTAACACGCCGACAGCCTACACATACGGCGACTCAACACGCCGAAAGTCAACATAACCTGCAACGTATCACGCAGAAAGTCAACACAAACTGCAACGTATCACACAACAAGTCAACACAAACTTCAACGTAATACGCCAAAGTTAAAGCAAACGGCAGCGTTACAATCCGTCAATCAATGCTCATGGCAATCAAGCTTGCCGAACGTCAACACAAACTGCTACGTCACACGCCAAATGTCAAAATTGTAAAAAAAAAAATAAAGCACTTGTTTAATAATTAGAAAGATAATAAATGCATTAAGCTGATGTAATATATTACCTGTAAGGCAATCGGTGCACTAATGTCTAGATAGAGTACTATCCAGCAACTGGTCGCTAGGCCATTATACTATGTCTACGTGATACGGAACTTATACAGGAGTTGTTCATTTATGTGTGGCTGGGCACATTCGTCAGAGTAAGCAATCTAAAAAGTCATAAAATACAACTTAGGACATGTGTAAGATGTTTGGTGGACAGACGAGGACATATTGAGTGTAATTTCATTACAAGAATGCGCGGTGTTGCGTATATTACAGAGTGCCTTGTTTAATACTGTACACTTTCGCGTTTGTTTAGTAAATATGTAATAGATTTTTCGACATTGTTTATTCCATATCTAGTCTTCAATGGTATTATCTTTCTTGTGCCAGATTTTAATGTCGTTACCACTCGATATAAAATAAACCGTATATGCTAATTAGTAGTTCTTTTATGTTGGTATGACATATATCGTACAGTACAATGTAAATCTTTAATTACATATTAAATATGCCGTTTATTTTATAATTGTCAATTACAAAAAAATGTATGGACTTTTGTTGAGATGAATATATGGTTATATGAACACGAAAAAGAGATATTAACCTCGTCTCGGTCATTATCACTCTCTCATATAACCACATATCCACCAAAATATTGATAACTAGATGCTTAAAAATGTTTTAATCACTGACCAAAAAAAACGTTGGAAAATTATAGGGAGGAAAGTATTTGCATTTGGCAGAGATCAATGTGACGTTACAATCGAACTGACGTCATAAAGTGATTATTGACCTGCTCTTTGAAAATGGTAATTCTGATTCAATATCACAAATAACCTACCTCCACAAGCCAAAGAGGATATAGAAAAACTGTGTCATCTTATACTCTGTTATGCATATTCATCTCTCCCTCATTCCTACATATCAGTCGAATAAAATTTGAAAAAAATAAATACGTTTTTGAAGGGAGAAATGATAATGAGGACAGAATGATTATATCATGAAAAACATTTGTAAATGATAAAGATATTGCATTCATTGAAATATGAATCATATGCTTTTGTTTTAGTGCTTATCAATATAATTATCAATATAATGAACGCAGTCATACATTCTGGCATTGTAAATGCCTCAAAAACTTTCTACACATATATCAGAATAGTAATGATGTAATCTGATAACATATGTTTTTTACCCTTGTTTTATTTACTTTAATGATATCAACCTACATATATGCCTGCACTCTCTCACCTAAACAATTATCATACAAGATTATATTCGAAAAGCTAAAAATGTGCAAGCATAACATTTTAACACATGAATATGTATGTAATCAGAATATCCGACATTAATTCTTTCATGAAATTTTAATTTCTGCATAAATAAAATTTCATGCACCTAGCAAACTGTGGGTCAGAAAAATGAAACAATACATCAGTAATTGTGGTTTAAATCGTGACACAAGCATACTATATATCAATGATATAAATAATTCAACTTGTTGTCATACCAATCTCGTCAAGTAGTTTTGGAATGTATCATCGTACCTGGTAAGCAAGTTGATGCAGTTCACGCATACAACGATACTTTCTCATGAACTTGCCGTGATAATTTACATCCTTCGTGAATTGACCTCGCACTCATAAGCATTAGCTAATGTATTGTCCACGGATAGTTATCTGTTGAAGTGAAAGACTGGAGTAGTATGAACCATAAGATTCTAACCCATCAAAAGATCAATTAACTTGCTCCATTGACTCTCGATTGGATTTTCGACAACATTCCTCCCCGACGCCCGAGAAGGTGTCTCCGATCCTCCGGAAGAACTTGCTCTCGATCCTGACTTTCGCGGAGACGACTCCCCCGTCCGACGCGGTGATACCGCTATCCTAGACCCCGAGTTGGAAAACTGTCTTTGCAAGGGTTGCCTATTTTTTCTTTTTTTTCTCAATTCTATCAGTCTTCGCCTCCGATTATCTCGTTGTCTTTGAAGGTATTCTTGCCGATTTCTATTGTCTCTTTCCCTATTTTTCATTTCTTTTTCATTTTGTCGTTTTCTTTCTAATTCTAATTTCATCTGTTGTTCTAGTTTTCTTTGTTGAGCTTTGTCAATGTTTAAATTTTCCGATTTACGTCTCTTGTTTTCTAATTTGAATTGTTCTTGCTGTTTTTTCAACCTTTGTTCGTACAGAATCTGTTGTTCCATCCTTTCGTAGATGGACATCGATGTAGGTTTTGGCACTGGTTGGTGTTTGTTCTCGGAAACAGCTGCGGGTTTCTCACCGATTTTCCCTATATTTACTTCATTTCTAACTTCGTTATTAAAGCTAGGCCTATTAAACCTGTGTCTGTTAACCGTATTTCTTATACCAAGCTGTCTATCTAGTTGAGACGGTTGTATCGTTTTATTGCTTTTTTGCTGTACCTGTACTTTTCTAGTTGAATCAGTTGGTATTTTGTAGTGAAATTCAAATCTCGGTGCTTTATTGATAGGTCCGCGTTGTCGTGTCGACTGAATATTTTTACGCCCCCACTTCTTCGAATGACGGCGACTTGGCAGTTCCTGGTTAGTTGCAATGTTTTCTCTTGGCTTTTGTCGCCAAAACACCTGTCCGAACGCATTCGAAAGAATCTCTGAATCATCCTTGGGTTTCAGTGTACTGGGTATCTTTGGTGGCCCTTGTATATCTTTGGTCTGTATCAGAGGAGTGCCTGGCAAATGTGGAGAGCGTACTCTCTCCGTCCACTGTTCATTGGCGCTGTTATAAGCCTGTCGTTCTACTGCCAACTTTCTTGCCAGTGTGTTTTGCCGCCGAAGTTCCTTCCTTTGTTGTTCCATAAGTTGCTGCGTTGACGTTCTGACCTCATTTTGAGATTGCCTTGGCTGAAAATCTTGACGTGAACTAAAACTTTGGAACAAAGAAGGAGGTGGAGGAACAAAAGAACGCTCTGGCATGGAGCTAAACTGCTGATTCATGACTGGCGCTTTAAAACGTTCCGCGCTTGATTTACACTGCCAAGGTTGGAATGAGTTTATTCTCGAGAGTGGTGTGGGGTTCTTCAGCCAATCGAGTGTCTTTTTCACTGATACAATAAACACATCCGGTCTCGAAACAAGTTCGGCTATAAATCTATCCATTGCGTTAAGTCGACTAGTTGTATAAAACCAAGATGGATGCATATTTATTCCGAACGGAATTTTTTCTCGTTGGTAATAACTATTAAAATTATCCATCAGAAATTTAAACGCCAATTCTTCATTTGGCGGTATATTCATACACCCATCCACATATACACAATCGTATCGATGTAAATAATCCAACAAAGACACAACCGGAACTTCCCAGAATCCTTGATGGCGGCCACGTGGGCAGGGCTTAACCTTGCAGTCGTATGGCCACCCGAAATCTAAAGTGAACGGGGTCGGAGCCGTGTCATTCAACTTCCGCTTACTGAATGTCAAGGTTGCATCGTACATGTAACCTAACTGTTTTAACTGTTCTGGTTGCAGATCTCCGACTGGTTCGAGAAATGGACTTCTCCAACCAACAATATCACTCTCCGGAAGTTTTCCATATTTTGCCAAATTTTGCTTCTGGTTCTTTGCCTCTGTAAAGAAGTTCTGCTGATTCATGTGACTATGTGTGACACTGTGGGCTGCGATCTCCATCCCACGTCGATGAAACTCGGTCACGTGATTATACTGGGTGTCCGTATGCGAAATAAACATCGTCATTGAGATCGGGCAACCATTTGGATTTAGACGAGAATTATTAAAAAGTCGATTGTAAAACTCTGCCGCCTTGTCTGTTAATGCGTCATCGAAAGTAAAGAAAACTATTTGTGGGATTTCGGAGGACCGCATGTCGAGACCAAGCTCACCCCGGCAGCAGAAGCAGTCCGGGGGCCGGCATTGGCCACTGGTGAGACAGGTCGAACAAGAGGAATGGACGGAATTGATGAATAACGTTATAAAACACAAAACGAACAAAAGAAACGAAACGAAATCCATTTTTGAAGTCTCTTTCATTTAAATGTTTTATCAATAATCTGAAACAAAAATACAACTAGTTCAGCTAATTAAACAAAATGTCTTTAAGTTTAGAAATTGCAAAGTTGTTAAAATTATTTCATATAATTTACAGCTAAAAATGTACGAAAGAATAAATGAAAATATTTAACAACTTTCTTTTTCAAACTATGAAAAACGGAAAACCTGGAATTTCCCCTGTGTAATTAAAATTCAAAATACATGAAAACATCTAATAGGATATTAAGCTTAATTTTAATATAAATCATAAATGTCCTGTAAGACATAATCAGAAATCATTAAACTTTGAAACATTCCAACTAAACAGATATTTCATATCAATTGACACAAAGGCATGAAATAATTTAAAATCGAATTAAAATTTCTAAAAATATATATAAGAAAATGAACTTACCATCTCCCCATTTTCAGGTGTCATTCAGATGTGCAACTCTCCAAATATGTCCTAAACAGGTAAATTCCAATAAATTTCCAAAACGCATGAGGTCTTATGCATTAAAATGTGTAGCCTTTTGCCACGACCATCTCCCGAGCTGTATATATCTTGCAATATACATTCTCGGAGAGGCAAAATAGCGGGACCTTGAGCGAGCAGCCCTAACCCTCTAACTGACAGGAGGTGTAATGTAATAGTGGTTACACGGCGTTTTATGGCAGGCTCTACGATATTTTGGCACATATTTGTCAGGGATGTTATTTATGACGACTGCCCTCGGGCGAAGCCATGTTCATGTCTGGAGTCTTCGGGACCCATTCTCTACCTTAACTTGTCACTAGTACTTCATGATCAACTGCACAGAAGATTGCGTCAAACGTTTTATTTTCGGAGTATATTCGTCACTCATTTTAAACTAATAATACACAAGTATATACATATCATTGCATGTACACAGGTGATATGACGCGGATTTGTGGATTTTCCAATAAAGTCGCGAATGAGTCAACATGTTAAAAGTCGTATTTTTAAGAAATTCATATCATCACGATTTAAAGGTTTCAACCCCCATTGTGACTCCCTGTGCAGTTCTATCCAGCCCCAAAAAAAGTGATTTACGTAGTTTGAAAAAACAACTTTTATGATTCACTTGTAAATTTAATCAAATATATATTATATTTATGATTTTAAGAGTGTAATATTTTGGCATCTTTAAGAATTTATGCTGATATTGGTATATTTTTACAAAGACAATAAATAGATAAATAAATAGAGAAAAAAAACTAAATCTCGAACATTTGTAAAACCTAAGTCGGTTTAGGTATCTATTACATTTAAAGATAAATCTAATGATTTCGATTTCTTTATTTCATTTAAATATTAAGCGTATACGTATTTGCGCGGATTGGTCAAGTGGTTAACACTACGGCCTTCCACGCAGTCGGCCGGGGTTCGATCTCCGAAGTCGTCTTACGCATGGAATATTCAAAGAAAGTGTTTTTCTCCTGTCCACACAACTCCAACAACCCAGGTGAAGTATAAAATTGTCTGGTGTGGATGTTATGGTATCTGTGCTGTAGCATTTAAGTGAAGTGGCACTGTAAATGATACCGTTGGAAGCACGGTTCCAATACAAACAGAACGCAATACATCTCCAACACACACGCAGGTATACATGTACACACATAGGGATATATTAGCCTGATGGCACAAGGCTAGAACAGTTGTAGTTAGCGCCCGATAAGGCAGTTCCTGTGAATTCCTCAATATTTTATATGCTTATCTTTGTACTGTAAAGTGTTTTAGAATTAGCATTTTAGCTAGATAGGGCGTTATATCAAATATCAAAGTAAAAAAATGAATGAAATATATTTATTTCAAATAAAAATATTTCTATAAAATTTGGAGATGTTTCTAAACACTTTATGTCATAAAACATCTTTGTTTTATTGGAAGGTGTCTCTATTACTTTTTAAAAATCTCCATATATCTGTAACAGCTAAAAGATAACGTCTTTCAGTAAGGTGGCCGCGGTTCGATTCCCCAATCGGACGTGAAAAGGTATGGGTTACCATGGCAATCATGGGTTTTTCTCCGGAAACTCCGGTTTCCTCCCACATTAAGACTCAACGCGCGCTAACATATAAGCCCAAACAAAAAAATATTAATGTTATTCGAAATAACTTCTTCAAAATTTTTGTTAAGTATATTAAGTTTCTAAATCGTAGACGGTCAGACGCCTTAACTACTCGGCTACCGCGGAATCGAACAAGTAACCGTTTCCGCATTTTCTTTGTTTCTGATTTACATCATCTGAATACGTGCGAGTCAGACCAGACGACGGCGATCCATTGTTTGTTTTTGTAAGTCTATAAGAGAACACAAATACTTATGGTAAAAATTCTTGTAAAGTGTAGATAACACACATTACTTTTCTGTAACGATACGATCGTGTTTGACGATTAGCAATATACACGCAGTTAATTGGTTTCAATAACAAAACGAAGCCGTGTTTAACCTATGTACTTCCCCCTCAGTACAATACACCTTGCGAACATTTTACCTGGAAACGTTATTCGTCCTCCTAATGTATATTGTGTTATATTTATATAGTTTACTGCACCTTTCGCTGTCTGCCTGACAGGTCAGTGTAAATGGCACAGGTACATTGTATCACGGCCCTGCGGACAGGTAATATATATATAATTAGGCATGATATCTAATTATACCTGCATTAGAAGCTACTGCCTCCAGGCCACTGTTTAATCCTTTTCATGAAGTGCGACAATTAATGCCTAATTTTCCCTCTTACTTGGTTTTCAAGTTTGCATATCTAAAAATTTAATAGGGCGTCAGCATTTCTCTGTCAATAAACGTATTTGCATTAAATGAATAAAGGCAACATGTAATAAAACTATGTCCGATATTGGTGTCGTTATTTCATTTTTTTTAGTTTCTATTCTACATCCCGTTTGCTGAAATTTAAATGTCATGATTCGTGTGTATGCGTGGTTGTATTTCATATTACTCATGTTATACACGTTTATACGAATGAAAATGATATATCAAGCAAAGAAACAAAACTGACGAAGGGAGATAATTTATTGGCACGTGCCCTGTCAGGGCCACGAACTCACGATCTCGAGTACAACTTTTAATATTAATAATACTTATATTTTTTGCACCTAAAGACAAAAAAAAAACCTATCTTATAATAGTACCACACAGGTTCGGTCCTCTTAGGTTTCGCACAGCGCACAGTTAAAATATCACAGGTTACGTACAAAGCAGAAATAATTTATCGTAGTTTCACAACTCCGTATTGTTCAGAAGCAAGATATTACAGTTCATAACATGCATTTTCAATTCATCATACAATTATTAGAGGTGCCTTAAAGGGCGAAACAGACATCACGGTTAAATTGCATGCATTGAGGTCGCATGTCTATACAACTTCATCTGCTACAACAAATGTATATTCACTGTGATTGACAAAATTTTATTTCTTTTAAATATTCTTATGAGTGCAACAGTAGGCAAAAAATAACTGATGAATTTCCTAACAGTAATTTAATGAAACGTTATAGTTCAACAAGACCACGTTCTTCCTATTGTGGGCGAATTTGCCGAGTGATTAACACTGATATTCCGACCTTCCACGCAGGCGGCCGGGGTTCGAACTCGTTATTTTTTCTTTTCTATCTGCAAATTTCCTCTGGTGATGCTTGCAGTTGACATGTATATATATTCATGTTTATTGATAATAATTGCACAAATATGATATATATTAAACACAGTACAATCACAACTTTTCAAGCATACCTAAAACCTTCAGAACAACTAACGAATTAATAGCTCTATAATAAATTTAATGTCTATATAAATAATTTATATAGTACAGTGAAGAAATTAAATTACATCATTAAATACTTAAGATTCATCCTAGTGTTGCCAATTCACTTAGTGTACATTCGAAATATGTCGTCAGTTAGTCAAACCTTGTCCAAAGAATATATTACAGATATCCCTTACTATGGAACTCTTTAGAAGGGAGGTGCATTTCACACTATAGTAGCATGTGTCCTTAAGTGAAAGGTTCTGTTTTATGTCATCTTCCTATTTAAGTTATTCATTAGAGTATACTATTCTTTGATGAGAAAAACTCTAAATACGATGTTAAATTTGCTATCTGTGATGTCACTTGTCACAAAAGACGTATATACGTCTAAAGGATCCTATTTTTATTTGGTACTAATAACGTACTAGTACCGGTACCTTTACTTTCGTTCGTACCGTTAATACACTATATTTAGAAATAAACAGTAAACAATGAATAGATACTACGTAAAACTACAGGAAAACAACAAAGGATTCTGAACTCCGTAAAGTGGAATTCCTTTTGCACGCCAACTTGACCGCTGTTATTACAAGGGGCGTACGTCAGTGCTAAGTGCAGTCTGATGGTTATTGGGATTTGTTTATGACTCTGGCCGAATGCATTATCTTATGTACATGACTTGACACGACACGACACCACGCTGGACGTCAAGCCCAGAGTCAGGTCCGCGAACATCTATACCGGTACCGTACACGGCAGGTTTATTCACATATCTCAAACAGTGCGCGCGCACTATTAATTGTTTCTGCATATATCAAGAACTCAATATATATTATTGTTACCAGCGTAGAACAAGTCTGACCTATATAACCTGGGTCGCTTTCATTTATCGCGTTCAAAACGGTTGGACCGGAGTTGTTCGTTCAGAAAATGGGACGGCGATTGTTGTTGTCTTTTGGCGATCCTTTGCAATGACTTCCGAGGCCTGCATTAACAATTTGCATGTTCATCGGGTTTTACCCCTGAAATATTGAATTTGAAAATAGACAAACTGGTTGGTCCGCAAAACACCGACCTGCTGCCACTACCTGTCGACTGACCCACGTAGGCCTCGAACTCGCGATCCAGTGGTGGAGGGCTAGTGATCGTACACGGTCATCAGATGCCTTACATTGTAACCACTCGGCTACTGCGGTCCCTAGGCTTCTGTAGATCGTCTTCGAAAACCTTTATTATATGAACGTTTGTAACCATTCCTCATTAAGATGAGGAAACAAGCAAAAAGTCATTCTTTGATAATCATTTATTATAAATGTTAAGGACATTGCTTCAATGAATGGCTTTAGGCCGTGATTTTGTAGAAATCAGGCTTGTACGAACAATATTCTAAAATATTTCCCGCCTTGGTGTTTTAACCAACTTGATGTACTTTTCCCTATGGCTTCAATGTACACTTCTGACAGTGACATAGATTTGGCAGAAATCAGGCTTTCGCGAACAAAAGTCTATACTATCCCCTGCTTGGAATTTGGACCAGTTTAATGTGCTTTTCCAAAAGCCGTAGGCGGAGGGCAATGGTTCTTTTCGCCTCACAAATTATTTCAGACTTTTGCCCGTTCAAGCGTTGAGTAAGTATATGCTATGACCTTGCGTGAAAGCTGCCTATATATAACTATAAATATCAACTGAGTTGTTCCGGTAGATATACAAGTGTAAACACGATTACTTCATCTTGTGGGGGGAAAACATGAATATTCATTAACATACATAAGCATTGTTGTATAAGCCGTTCCTGTGCGAAGATTAGTTTTATGAATATTGGAGATATATGTTATTTTTGAAGAAAAAATACCTGGCACTGATTTACTGTTGTGTTTAATTGATAGGTGTGCACGATTTAGAAGTCTCATTAATAACCAAGCGTGTATCAAAACTGAACCTCTAATGCTGTTTAAATGTTCGTAAGTACACACAGCATTGATTAAGTCCAGCAGTAGGACTTTGACGTTTATTGATGTCAAGTGATAATATATTTTTATATCAGGAACATTTGTGATAAAAAAAAAAAATCCTGTTTGTAAAATACTAACAGCAATAACTGTACATGAAGATAGACACACTATTCCCAAATGTATTTGACTGCAGCTGTATGAAACTTGGGTCGTTTGGTGCAGAAAACCACTAGATGTCCCTGATGTTCGATCTACGTTGTACATAAACCGAAATTACAGGAGAATTCATCTAAAAATGTCCTTTATGTCCTTTTCGTGCGGATTGTCGTGATTCTCTGGTAACGCGAGTTTTTCACGAAAGCCGAATTCGCCAACAAGGGGGTAGATGCCATTAACATCAATGATAACCTACGTCAAAAAACTATCGAAGCTTACATACCTCCGTACTTCAGATACACATGTACCCAAATCTTTTCTTACAGATATTCTAAACCACAGTTGATTTCAAGTTTTTCCACTACAAGCAAACACTACGACAGAATAATTTAGATGAATTTAGCACAACTCTTTCGGTAACTTCTTTTGCTATATCCCCATACAACTACGGCCCACTTTCGTGGAAGACTATACCAATCGTTGGACAAAACCCGGTTAATCGAATTTAATTTACAGAGAGGGCTAATTATGTATCAAACCATCTATCTAAAAAAAGGTTTTGCAGCTTGGAATCTGAAATGAGAAGTATGTTTTCTGAGACTCCAATATCCAATCTAGATCAACAACTGGCAGACCAAGTATCTGATACCTTGATCATTATCTTCAAACATGTTTTCAATGCTTACTTGTAAAAACAAAAACAGACTGGCTCGATAACTGTGGAAACCCTGCTTCAATATTTTCCCAATTTTTCGAAAGACGAAAGACCCGCTAACCATGCATCAATACTACATTATCTCCAAAAACAGGTAAATGATGAACATGATATATGTATCATTGAATCAAGGTGATAGTTATTTTGTTACCCTGTAAACGTTAAAAGTGTAATAGACAGAATTTGGATTTATTTTTCTAAGAATTCCAAACACAACTGATTAATCTACATTACATCTCCAGCACACACGCAGGCATACGCACATAGGGAGATATTAGCCAGAAGGCATATGACTAGTAGTTAGCGCCTGATAAGTCAGCTCCTGCGAATTCCTAAAAAATGTATTGATTGATTTAAATACATTTACTAATTGTATTAAGTGTATATCTATGTACTGTAAAGCGTTTTAGATTGGCTTATGAAGCTAAATAGGGCGCTATATCAAATGTTGTACATTATTATCACTTAAGTATTATTTATCTATCAGAACGATTGTCTTCCACTATGTATATCACCATATTTCATAAAAAAGATGAAGAAACGTCTTCGTTCATATTTTAGGAGAGCCTTCCTTTCCCATTTTCTTACAAAACGCGGACAGCTATACAAATAAAAGGTTTCGAACTATTCTTGAACTTATTTTGGAATAGAAAAAACATGACAAAGAGTGAAACAGAAATACTCTGAAAATTAATTGGGGGGAATGAGTGAATTCCTTTTTTGAGAAAGTCTTTGTTGATTTTCTACTGACTGTTGACATTCTCTTAAAGACACGCTGTCCGTCTCTTGGCCGACGTATTATCTGTGTCCTTTTCAGGATTAGTAACAATGAATTTGCCAAGTTCTGTCATTGTTCTTTCAGCGACATAGACGATATCCTCTCTTTCTACAACAAGAAATCTGTCGGGGGGATCGTATACAGCCACATGGGTTTAAAATCAACGACACTAGAGACCTGTCTACATCAGACGCTGACCTTGAGGTTTACTTACAGTATGACCTACGATGATTGCTTTCTACTGATCTGTATGATAAAGGTGGCGATTACGATTTTTCAAAGTTACAACCCGGCTTACTCAATCTACGATGTTTTAAAGATGTCACAGTTGATACATTGTATTGAGCGAATGGAAATATCCCTACGCTAATAAACATGTGAGGCACTGCCTATGTGTCTCTAATGCTTAACGCTACACTAATATGTCTTCAAGTTTTCATAGATAATATCCTTTTGAAGACAGCAGATGTTGCTGGAAGATGAGGTTAATATACAGTGCTAGAGTGGAGAAAACAACACATTAATCTTGAAGCGTCATTACTACAGAGCTATACCAATTGATTGAAGGTTAAACAAGTTTTCTGTGATCTATTAGAATTCTTCTTCATGTTCTTTCCCTGATATTTTTTTTGTCGGATTCGGCCTGCATGTTTTAAGTTTAAGTTCAATGTGAAGCTGTCCCAACCTTTTTAAATTTGACTAAATTTTGCCGATAAACCGAGAGTAAAACAATATAGTAAACTTGAAAGGCTGGCTGTGCCCTAACGACATATGAGAAGATGTTGTTATGTTCCTAATTGAAGGGAGATAACTCCAACAATTTATAAAGTAAATTTTGATACATTCTTAGTATTTATGCATGCTACTGGTATATTACTGTATGCTATTAGGTAACTAGAACAGCTCTTTTTTTGCCTATACTTCGTTTATTATTATTTTCCTCTTTTTTTCTCTCTTCCATCTGAAGTGTTTCCGGCTGTTTTGTCAGAAGCTTCACAAGAATATTAGTGGACGTGTGTAGAAGTGCTCAATGCAGTTCCCACTTAAATCGTTTGGCCGCAACAACCTTTGTTTGGCGGAGGCAGTTAAGTGTTAAAAATGGGTGTACGCTAAGCTTTTGCCATTGGTCCGCCTCAATTGATTTGTTTCCTAAATTTGTTTCTTGTCGTCATCTTTTGCAACACACCTATAGCGACTATAGGGGTACAATTGCAGCATGGTGAACTCTGCAGCAGCTGTTAATGGTATCATGTAGTCTAGTTGCATAGGCCCACAAGAGTTATCGCTCTTGTTTATTACACCATTAATTAACCTGTATAACGTCCCGTAACATGCTGAGCTCTCCTGTACGCTCTGGTAATAAAGTCAGTCGAAGCTCGCCATTTGTCAGCGTTAGTTACATGTTCAATATGTCATTTTCATCATCAACACGTGTCATTAAGCAGATTTAGAATGTAGAGTGTAGAATTTCTGTAGCAATGCTTTCCCCGGGTTTCTGCTTTATAAGTTATGAAAATATGCTGTAAAAGTGTAATTTTTTGTGTGTGGAAATATTTCCGGCCGCTATGAATGACTAAACTGATTGCGTTGTAGAAATTTTCACGTTAATAATTGGTTCTGAAATCTTTATATTTTATGTATCGGTATACATATTTGTGTTTAGATATTTTCGCGCATATTTACTCGACGTAAAATACGCGAACAATTCCACACTGCAAAAATTTCCCAATTTGCAGTAAGTCGAGCGTCCTTCTATGGTCAGCCGAGAATAAGGACACGAAAGCTACAGCGTATATAATTTATTATAACTGTCAATGACAATACATTCAGACCTTCAGCACAGAAATTGTATATCAAAACATGTCCCTATATGTGGCACTGTTACGGATGTCCGAAACACGGAAATGTTTATACCTTTCGTCGCATCGGAGGGTCGCTACAATAGCAATTGGTCTGGCCAACAAGTTTGTTGCAGAGTCCCTGTTCTTGGGCAATCTCAACGTCACAGGACTTCAGGCGCATTATTGTTTCGAGGCCGTGAAGTGTCTGTATTTGTTTTATAATGTAGTCATTTACCGTCCCCTTAAAGCATGGATTTGTTCTGATTTTCTTCACAACATTTATGCACTCTCTTAGGCATCTAAATGGAATGCAGTTATCCTTCAACTGTAGAAATAGAAAAGAATGAGTGCTAAATGACGTCAGCAAAGGTATATATTGACATAATACAATCATTAAAAGTGACAGGTTAATCACGGTATTGTATCCACTGCAATGATTATCACTGTTAAGACATGTCTTTACTCAAACTTGACCTAGATTCGAATGGTAGGTAATGTCGCTAAAGCAGAAGACGCTCACACCCCCGCAACATCTGGTCTTACTATCACAGCACTTTCAAATTGTGTCAGTGTACATTTTCCCTTTGTTCAGTTTTTACCTTAGATTCATTTATTTTTGGTTCGAATAATGGTTCACTCTTCGGTAATCTCTTGTCATATACTGTAAAAGTGGACATTTCTTTACGCAAAATTTCTACACCGCGATAATGTCCGCTTTTACAGTATCTAGCCATAACAAACAACTTAATCATCAACCAATATAGATACAGATGGTGTTGTTGATAAATTTGTCACCAGGAGAACCACACTGACAAGATAAATTCGATATTTCATATAGGTAAAACTGTAGACCTTTTATCCGTACCACCTGTCTCGTGGACTTGTTCTCTAAAAATGGATCAAATTTATTCTTTACTCAGGTATTCACAGTTACAAAAACGTCGTACTTAGTCGTGTATCTCGAACACTGTCGTTGTAAAAGTTGTATGTTTATTTCTACTGTTCCAGGAAAAAGTATTCATTGTTTTGCAATTTTATAATATTTTTCATGAAATATTTTAATGAGTCCTTTTCTGCAGATGTGTTTCGTATAAATCTTAACTCGCCATGTATTTCACACAATTATCATTACAATTTGATTTTGTGCTTTGTTACACTTCTGTGATTGGTTAACAGTGTAACACACGTGACGGTAAAGCAGCTGTTAATATTAGTATGAACGGCTGTTTTTATCAAATCCCATTGTCGTTCGAGTTGTCTCCCATTGTATAAATCATAAACATAGTATCAAAATGAAAGATGAATATCATGATAAGGTTAGTACTAATAAGTTAAACAATCCTTTTTGTTCCTTAATTTTCTAGTATATAATCGGACATACTCCAAAACGATCAAATAACTTTGAAGTTCACCTCTTTTTTGAAAATATAAGTAACGGAGTGGTAGACTTTACCTAAAGTTTGTAAAGTGTTGCATTACCATGATAACGTTAGCGATTCATACATGTACCTGGACAGACACATTAGCTATCTCTGAAAAAATGACTTACCGATTGTATTATGGCGGTAGCCTCAGGACTGGACGGAAACGTGACCACGTGACACCTATCTACAATGGTGGCGCTGTCTGTGAGAGCACACTGGGGTAACCCCATCTCCGAAAAACAATGGCGCGGAGACAAATGTTCTGCTGGGTAATAACTGAACAATCCTAGACACATCTCGTCAGAGGTAGTTCTACCAAAGAAGGTCGACATGTTGCGAGTCATCGTGTTGTAAGAACACGAAGTATAGATGGCGTCTCCAGGCTTTATATCAATCGACGACGAAAATCTAAAATATAATGTCGTTAACATCATTTACAATTGATAACGTAACATTTTGGATATAAATTGGATACCAAATAATGTTTTAATCATTAAAAAGATGGAAAGTGTGAGCATTGGATGAAGGAATATAGTGCATTTGGCAAAATGCGTGGTTCTGTTACAATCAAAAAGTCGTCACAAAGTGATATTTACCTGCTGTTTCTTAAAATAGTAACACAGACTCTATTTCACAAATCAGCTGATAAGAATATAGCGAAAATATGCGTCATCTTATATTTACTGTTAATTCAAACGTTAACTCTAGACCTGTAAGATAGATTTGTCCAGGAGTATCTCCCCTCCATCATACATTTTGTATAAGCAAAAGAACTTTTAAAACTTTAAGCATGTAACGAAATTAAGAAAAGGAAACAAACACAAAAAAATGTCAAAGATCGTCATAAAAAATGCAGTGTACCGGGAAATTTTCAAAATTTCGCCCTTCACTACTTAAATCCGTATTCGCTCAATGATAAGTTCGCTTTTCATATGTATGACTATATTGTTATGGTATGTTTTAAATAAAGTTTGATTTATATTTATAAACATACTTATGAATGACAGGGTTGTCGTAATCGTACACTATATCACGTGTTAGTGTTTCCTCTTGGACCGTTCCTGGCTTTTTCAAAGTCACTCTCATCTCAGCACCTGTTGTATATAATATATATATACAAGTATTTAACGTAATTTACATAATGTTAGCGCTAGCGTATATCCATTTTTTTGTGCGATATTCTCACGTTAAATGAAAAAAAAATACTCACTCTATATGTCTCATATATAATCTTAATAAATTGCATAGATAATGCTGCTTTTTAAAAATCACTGTACACTGCTACGAATTTGAGTAATAAACGATTTGAAATAAATGATCGGCATATAACACCACCTGAAATACGTACCAATTTATTATCCTTAATTTAGTTGTCTTTCTTTTTTATGGTGTAAGATTGTTGACTATAATCGATACACTACTTCTTACCACCTACCGGTAGCATGATAAATTCATAATCACGGTTTGTCAGTGTGAGAATACTCAAAGAGAGGTTGAGTTGAGAGCGATTTGAGAATGGATTTTTCCATTTGGGAGTATGTTTTTTTTTTTTTTTTTTTTTTTTTTAAATTCTTGCAATGACGATAATATTTAAAAAAAAAATAAAAAAAAATAAAAAAAAAATCTGTATAATTTTAAGGTTTATGGTCATTCTCCGCGCGCAATTTGTCTACGTCTGTCACAGACAGAGAATTAAGTTGACTTTTTGTAAAAGGGAGTACAGTAGTCTATAGATGATAAACAGTTTATCACAAAATATTGTCAAGGTTTGTCGTTCAAACAATTTTCTCATCTCTCGAACATGGATAAAACCTCGAGTCGAATGTCCGTGAATAAATCTAAAATGTATATGTTTAATTTTTGTCATTTGAAGCTAAAATAGAAAGCTCGCGAAACCTTGGTGAGTCAAAATACACAGACCAGTCATGAAGTAACACTCTATAAAGCAAAACTCATTAGTTTGATTTAATGAGAGGAAACTAATAAAAAGAACAATATTGATGAAATTACCGTCTTTCGCCATTGTTCTATTAACAAAAAGAACAATAATGATGAAATGCCAGTCTTTCGCCATTATTCTGGTCACAAAAAGAACAAAAATGATGAAATTTCCGTCTTTCGCCATTATTCTATTTACACGTTTCGGAAACTTTTGGATGGTACAGGTTAGAACTCACGTATACATGTTTTGGCACATACCTGCATAATGCATATGGTTATACCCGGTGAGGAGACGGATTGGGTTGGACAGTTGTTTTCTGGTACATGTTGGATAACACTGTGCCTCTACGTCGAAGCCTCTCTCCCCAGGAGGAATAGCAACGTTATTAGTTCCTACAGTAAGCATCCCGATATTGAACCGTCTCAGTTGAGGTGTATAAAATAAAAGTATGCCTGAACTATCCCTCTCGCCAACTGCCTTAGAAGGGTTGTTCCACATCACCTGTAATTGTTAAATATTAGACATATCTACCTGGTGTTTTTTATCTTAAAAATCCCCGTCCCACTGCCAAAAACTGTAACCAAGTATTGGACACATGAGTTTAGTTTTGTAAAGAAAACCATACATTGCGGGACTTATGAAAAACAATGAGGATAAAATAACAAAACATATATGTAAATCTTGATTCGAACCCTGGACTTCAGATTGTTACACTATTGTTCTAATCTGTTGATCTACATGTTCTACGTAAGTGTCCAGGCACAATTGTGCTACGGTTATACCAAATATATAGCTACAAGATAATTTTCGTTCAATGTCAGGATTCGAACCCTGGGCTCCATTTGTTATGATATCGCTTAACCCAGTCGACTGAGAAATCTTTAACGGATTATGCTGGCCAAATTGTGCTGCAGTTATTTTCAAACGGAAGTTAAGGGGAGGTTACTGTACATATGGACAAAGAATAGTGTGCATAGGGACCATTTTCAGGACATTGTATGAACACGACAAAATCAAGAAATATTTCAATATTGTTTTATAAAATTACGCTCAAATAATCATTTATGTTGATAGTAATACCTTACCTGAAGAATAGCATACCGATACCCCGTCAGTCCGATTTTGTACCCAGCCTCGAGAGGATGGCAGTTCCCGCCAATAGTCGGAGTCCATCCGACCATTAAGTCTGGACAAAGGAGTGGTTCGGCCAGCATTTCGCATGGGTAAACTTGACCCAAGGGATGTGCCAAAGCCGTAACAGTCACTAGCAAAAAAAAAAAAAGCCGTTATACGTTACTAAAGAGTGATCTAAAGAATCAATGCAAACAAATACTTATATGCTAGACTTGACCTGGGGGTGGGTGAGACCATTCATTAGAGTTTGACAATGCCTAGGGTCGCAGCGAGGGTTTCACTGTCTCCCGAGGCAAATTAATGTAGCGCTTATTTTATTTTTTTGAAAAAGAAAAATGGTGGCTTAAACGAACCATGCGCACATCTTCTTTAGGCGGTTACTATTTTGCACTGTCACACACAATGTGAACCGTTGCTAGGGGGTTGGAAAGCACCCTTCCACTGACTCAATGTTAAAGCGAATGTGACAGTGTGGAATGAATATTTTGTCTCGGCCAATCAGATGACAGGATTTTCACTGGATGTTTTATAATACAAATGATGTTGATGTGTGATACAGGACATCAATGATCAGTAGTAAAAGATAAATTAGTTTATCATAAACAACAAAACATTTTTTTTAAAAAAGTGCCTCAGGTAAACACGTGTTAGAATGACTGAAATACTATTACAGAAGATACCCATTTAATAAGTTATGAATTTGCTGTATTCTTAGTCTTCGTCTTCTTCAAAACTATACCTCCTGGAGAGCAAGCCTGTAATGTCATATGATGCAAAACCTTGCTGTTGTTAAGGAATGCCGTATCAGCGATCACGTGGTAATCCCGATCTGATGGAAACTCAAGGTTCACACACATGTTGGTGGTCTCTTGCGCCGGTACAGCTGTATCCGGTAATCTCAATGCCATATTTTGAACACCTGAAGAAATAATGACCAGGTACATATTGATCCATTCTGTATACATACATGTACCTTTTTGTACGACAGTGCTAGTTTAGCGATTTTCATCGTAACGTTTAACCGCAAAAAAAATAATTATTACGTTAAAAATCTATGTTATCAAACAATTTTATAGGAGTATCATGATAATCAAGATCATTCATTCTGCATGGTGTGAGTGTTTTTGGTTTTTCGCATATCAACATGAAAATTACAATGTTCAAAGAATCGCTGCATGTGATATATGTTGCGTAATACACTATGTACGTAGTATATAGTTTATACTTAACCTACTACACTATGCATGTATCACTGTACTGACTCCGATCAAAGTAACTCAATTGTATAAGTTATTCGATCAATTAAATGCATTGAATCTAGCTCTTTTTGTATGAATAAAAGGAACAAGCGCATAATATATGTTTTGTATTGTGATGAGCTAGCGCTATTTAAGTTATACATGTAAGTATTGTGATGATCGAGCGAACTTTTAGTTATATTTTGTTGTGATGATCTAGTTCACTTTTGTTATATGGTATTGTGATGATCTAGTGCCTTTTTGTTATATGGTGCTGCAATGATCTAGTGCAATTTTAGTTATAATCTGTTTTGATGATCTAGCGCACTTTTGTTTATATGGTATTGTGATGATATAGTAAACTTTAAGTTAATTGTGTTGTGATGATCTAGCGCACTTTTAGTTACATTGTGTTGTGTTGATCTAGTGCACCTATAGTTATATTGTGTTGTGATGGTCTAGCGCACTTTTAGTTACAATGTGTTGTGTTGATCTAGCGCACTTTTAATTACGTTGTGTTGTGATGATCTAGTGAAGTTTTAGTTATATTGTACTGTAATGATCTAGTGCACTTTAAGTTATATGGTATTGTGATGATCTAGTGCACCTATAGTTATGTGGTATTGTGATTACATAGTGCACTTTTAGTTTCATTGTGTTTTGATGATTTAGCTCACTTTTAGTTATATTGTACTGTGATGATCTAGTGCACTTTTCGTTATATGGTATTGTGATGATATAGTGGATTTTTAGTTATATGGTATTGTGATGATCTAACTCACTTTTAATTATAGTTTTGTGATGATCTAGCGCTATTTTAGCTTTATGGTTTTGTGATGATCTAGAGCTTTTTCGGTTTTATGGTCTTGGGATGACCTAGCGCTATTTTGGTTTTAAGGTTTTGTGGTGATCTAGCGCTATTTTGGTTTTACGGTATTGTGATGATCTAGCGCTATTTTGGTTTTACGGTATTGTGATGATCTAGCGCTATTTTGATTTTACGGTATTGTGATGATCTAGCGCTATTTTGGTTTTACGGTATTGTGATGATCTAGCGCTATTTTGGTTTTACGGTATTGTGATGATCTAGCGCTATTTGGGTTACAGTGCGTTGTGATTATCAAAAGCACTTGCAGTTACATTTTATTGTAATGATATAGCGAACTATCAGTTGTGTTGCATTGTAATCGTCTAGCGAACTTTTAGTTACTAATCGTTGTGATGTATTGTTATGTGATGAGATGGTGCAATTCTAGTTTTATTGTATTGTGATGAACTAGCGCCCTATTTATTGTGGTGTATTGTGACGAACTAGCGCATTATTTATTGTAGTGTATTGTGATTAACTTGAACTTTATAGACGATTATTTATTTTCTATTTTGATGAACTAGCGCACTATTAATTGTGGTGTGATGAGCTAGCGCACTATTAGTTGTGTTGTAGTGTGATGAAATAGCGCACTATTACTTGTGTTGTTGTGTGATGAACTAGCGCACTATAAGTTGTGTTGTTGTGTGATGAACTAGCGCACTTTTAATTGTGGTGTGGTGTGATGAACTAGTGCACTATAAGTTGTGTTGTTGTGTGATGAACTAGCACACTATTAGTTGTGTTGTGGTGTGATGAAATAGCGCACTATTAGTTGTGTTGTTGTGTGATGAACTAGCGCACAATTAGTTGTGTTGTGGTATGATGAACTAGCGCACTATAAGTTGTGTTGTGGTGTGATGAACTTGCACACTATTAGTTGTGTTGTGGTTTGATGAAATAGTGAACTATTAGTTGTGGTGAGTTGTGATGAACTAGCGCACTATGTATAATTATATAAGCTATGTTGTATTCTGTTGCCAATATATTAGCACATTTGCGGGGGAATGGGGCGATAAAAAATCATCTTACCTTGCTGCCTAATGAACTCACAGTCGACAGGAACAGTTGGGCATTTGAGCCAATTGGCGTTTTGTTTTTGGCAGAAGGGTGAGCTCCATGGTTCGCAAACACCTTATAAAAACAATGTTTGAATCATATTCGTAGGTAATGCATGATGTAAATTAATCAACAATACTTTGAACGGGTTGCTATATGGACCATTGTATTTCTATCGGTGGATATGTATATTTTCTTAGATTTATTCCACAGCGGATGGTATAGTAACTTGTAATATTTTGATTCCTGTGTTGGTTCTATTAACAGAAATATGGTTGAATATGAGATGCTATGAATATTTTAACCACATGTAAATGTTAAGCAAATATATCTTCAACATGTATGGATGGATTACATTAAAATGTTTTTCATTTTTAGAGAAAAGGATGTTGTTAAAATGAATGACAGGGTATACTGGTAAAACGTAAAGAAAATGAAATTAACATAGGTCAATAGGTCATGAAAGTTATGACTACTTAGAAAAATCAATGATATAAAAAGAGAAATAACTTATTATATACTATTACATATAATATTTTATCAACAGTCGCAACAAATTGAAGTAGAGCTTCAACATCCCACAATCTTATTACTTTTGACCGCTTGTGTGACTACGACCTTTGGGTAGAGACCTAAACATGTTACAGTGTATCGAATTTAGTCATAACACGTTCTAATGTCAATTTTCAGCAAACGTTTTGAACACACTCACACCCACAAACACAGGTGATTGCACATATAGATATCGGTAATAATAAGAATTCGAGGTTCTTATATGCCGCTTTATCATATCCTAGTTCGAAGGTCGTCTCAAAGTGGTTCATAAACTATTATCCGTGGTCATAGGGCCTTTGCAATCAGCCAATATATTCCTCAAATTCAATGGGATGTTTAATATTATTTTACAATAATTTTAAAGTGAAAGTAACCAAGGAAAAGAAAGACTTGATGGGATTTTTTAGTTTTGCAATTAGAAATAGAAGGTAAGTGTATAACACTGATAACAGTCTATGGACCAAATTCTGACACACTGACTTACTTTCTATGACAATATAATAGAAACTATTAGTGATTTTAATAATGAATATTTATAATATGGGGAAATTTTAAATGAATGTTAATCCTGAAATAGACTATGATAACAACTATAAACATATTAACAACCCGAAAGCTAGAGACAAACTTAATGAAATAATTGCAGATTTTAGAATGGTAGATATTTATCGTGAACAACATCCTGAGCAAAAAATATATACTTGTAGAAGATGTTATCCTACCAAACAGGCACGTTTAGACATATCAGAAAAACTATTAGCAAGTGAACATAATTCTACTATCGATCCAGGATATAGGTCTGATCATTTAATGCCAATAATCTCTTTAACTTTTAATGAATTCAGAAAAGGTAAGCTATGGAAATTTAATACCTCTCTTCTTCATGAAATAGATTATCTTGAAGTTAACAATCAAACACAGAAGGAAGTATTTTTTCATGTGCGATATAACAAATATCGAACAAAAGTATTTTAAGTTTGGTTCCCTGGAAAAAAGGGCATTTTCTTCAAATACCGGGAATACCTTTGGCGATTGTTAACTTACCTTTCTCGGATATAACATTTTAGCTTTATCCGCTAAGGAGTTTTATATGCTACTTCCAGAGACGTTATAAAGATTTTCGTTCCATTTCCGTCTTAAACAATAAAAATCTTCAGCAGTGATTTCTTCCTTAGACACTCAAATCTACGCTGCAGAAATGTAACCGTCGTCATCATAATCTCATTTCATTGTCTACCACGAGTTAAGATTGATTAATGTAGTAGTGTCATTATTTGTCATTATTACTTTTAATATATTTGTGGTATTTAGCTATACGCGTTCGTATGTAACGGAAATCAGCCTTCCGTGTAATTTTGTACGTCACGCATTGCGGCAAAACTTTTAGCGCGCGCGCGGAAATAGCACGCGTAAATGCGAGTAAGGTACTGAGCGGATGTGATGTAATGTGTTGTAAACCTGTTTGTCCAGTACGTATTGTCTATGTATAGAATACCTAGTATTGAATGTAGGGTAATTTACCTGGTGCACTGGTCACTTTGAACAGAGCGGCCAGAGCGAGCACAGCGAACATTTGTACACCTATATCTTTACCTAGCCAGCATAGGAATTAAAAGAGGTAGCGGGCACTAGAGCCAAAAGCAAATAATGTAAGTACTCGCGTATAAATATAAGTTTAATTCATTATAGTATCTATTCAATAATATATTTAATTAACGTAATATTTTTGTTAAAAGTAAAGTTAATATTTTGAAAGTCTTTGTAAATTTAGAAATCGGGCGTGGTCAATTTAGTAGACAAGTGATTTCGAAGAAGCAAGTTTTTAATATATATTGTTTCCTTTTATAGCTTACATTGAACGAGTAAGACTGAGGACTCGGCGGACTTTGTCCGAGAAAACCCTCTTCACATTGAAGAGGTGGGTATTTTAATATATTTGTAATTATGCTGTATTTCTATATAATATATAGATTGAATGTAACAGTTGTAATACGTATTCCATTATTGTAACTTATGTAACTGGCTACGGCCAGGTAGTTGTTTGACATGTCTTAGCTCATGTGATTGTATAAATGTTATATGTGTAGTAATATGATGTATTTCATGTTACAGGGTTTTTACTTACGTAATAAATTAACTGAGAAAAGAACCCAGGAGTTGTCGTATATCCACGATAAAAGACGACTATTACATTAATTAATTAACTATTGTCGAAGATAGTAGTCGACCCACATCTTTGTCCAGAGTAGACGGAATGTGTCTCCATGAGTACCATATGTGCTGCAGGAAAGCCTTACCTTCCGGGCCACCTATTTCACCTGTAGATGTTCATGGTGTTTCATGTTGTCTTTCGTTTACTTTTGATGTCTTTTGCTATCCTGATTCTTTATATCTATATATGCTTTGAGTTCTGATCAGTTTACAGATTATATATTTACCAGGATGGCCATTGGGTTCAAATATTGGGCTGCGTCCATATTTCCATATACAGAGTGGATCGCCGAGTTCTCGTCCGTTTGTAGCTCCATCTCCGTCGGAGTCAAGCATGCAGAAGCTCTTGTCCCATACCTTTATGTATGTTTCAACAAAACAAATGATTGGCATGTGATTTTGTATTCATTTATATAATATATATTGCAATAGCTTTTGCGATTGCTACATAAATTATAGCTACAAACAAACACTAGTTTTGTACAAGTCAGTTTTGAAACATATGTAAAACACGTAAGTGTGATGATTCTACACATGAAACGGACACATGTAGTCACTAGATACTCTTAAGAACGATAAATATTCAAAAGAATCATAATTAATGCACAGTTAAAAAATAGTGATGTACGTTACTCAAAATTATCTTCGACAAATACTGTTTGACACTTTTGATACATTAGTTATAAAATATATGAAGCACATTTGTAATCATAATGATCTATTGTCTGCTCCACCATTTTGAATGTAAACCTTTGTTTCAGCACTATTTTATAAACCAAACAACAGTCTACTACGCTCAACGAATTGTCCAAGGAGCACAGAAACAAAAATTTGAATATCATATTTGAAAAAAAAAATCAATTTACGGCTAGGAAATATAAACCAGGAGTACACGACGTTTAATGATGTTTTAGCCGTCGTTTATAGAAAAAAAATATATAAAATCATATTTTATATATGCAAAGCCTCAGGCATCGATTTAAAAACAAAATGGTATGGATTGTAAAAATCAATTCAGATTTCATTAGTAATCATAATGATGTGAATCTAAGGAAACTTTGCAATGCTAATGTCAAAAATAAATTGCTTATATAATCCTCTTGTATTTTTTTAAAATCCTTCATTTACATCTAGACTTTTTCAAAACGTATTAGCCTCATTGACAATGATGAAAATATTTACTGTGAACACCTGTAATATAACCAAGATTCATTTAACAATTACATAATATATAAATATACAGTAATGTACCATTGAACATATATAAACGTAGTACATGTATCATTGAACACCACTACCAATGAACACAAATAAACCATTGTCTTTGAACACTAACAAACCTGAAATGATTGAACATTTGTAAAACGACCTCCATTGAACACTTCAAACCTATTATCTTCAAACATTTACAAACTGAGTTTTCTTGAACACTCATAAACCTTATACCATTGAACACTTTTAAACATAGGATCATTGATCACAAGTGAAATGATTGAACATTTGTAAAACGACCTCCATTGAACACTTCAAACCTTTATCTTCAAACATTTACAAACTGAGTATTCTTGAACACTCATAAACCTTATGCCATTGAACACTTTTAAACATAGGATCATTGATCACAAGTGAAATGATTGAACATTTGTAAAACGACCTCCATTGAACACTTCAAACCTTTATCTTCAAACATTTACAAACTGAGTATTCTTGAACACTCATACACCTTATGTCATTGAACACTTTTAAACATAGGATCATTGATCACAAGTGCAATGATTGAACATTTGTAAAACGACCTCCATTGAACACTTCAAACCTTTATCTTCATACATTTACAAACTGAGTATTCTTGAACACTCATAAACCTTATGCCATTGAACACTTTTAAACATAGGATCATTGATCACAAGTGAAATGATTGAACATTTGTAAAACGACCTCCATTGAACACTTCAAACCTTTATCTTCAAACATTTACAAACTGAGTATTCTTGAACACTCATAAACCTTATGCCATTGAACAATTTTAAACATAGGATCATTGATCACAAGTGAAATGATTGAACATTTGTAAAACGACCTCCGTTGAACACTTCAAACCTATTATCTTCAAACATTTACAAACTGAGTATTCTTGAACACTCCTAAACCTTATACCATTGAACACTTTCAAAACATAGGATCATTGAACACAAGTGAAACTTGTATAATTAAATACGCTTCATTTCTGCGATATGAACGATATTTTTTTCACAAACGTAGATATTGTTAACAGATCTGTTTTTAGAAGCCTTTTTACTTACATGAACTAGGGTTGCCACGATGGCAACGATACAATACGTATCACGATACAATACGTATCACGATACAAATGATCTGCTTGAAAGGTCAACTTTATAACGATTGAGTGAAGGATTTTATGAAGTTTTGTTATAGACTTCAGTAGTAAATACTATCGAAATAACTTGCTTTGTATAATATCTAGTACTTTTGGGTATGACTACACAGTGGAACACATCTTTACTGAAGGATTAAAAGAATATAAGTACACTTTTTAGAGTTTGCTAAAAGAAAATATTGATGATTTAAGTACTATTAGTGTATTTCAATACAGACAAACAAAATAATTCGATACTATACATAAGAAAGTATCGCGATACGATACAACACGATATAACGTTGCAACCCTAATACTTACGAAATTATTGTTTTTAAATGCCTGGCCGAATGGATTTGTTAGTCCACCTCCCAGCTTGTTTTGGTGGCCAACTCCCTTCCATATATCATTTCTATTACATGGATCTTGAACTTTGTCACCATTCGGAATTCTCTCTTGAAATATGTTAAATCCAAAGATGACGTCACACAGGCACAGCAGAAAAAGACACAAAACTCTGTAGAAATGTAAAAACGAAGGTATATTAAATAAAAAATGTGACGTCAAACAAAAGCACAGCAGAAAAAGAAACCAAACTCTATAAAATGGCAAAAAGAACCCTTTGAAGTATACATAGTAAATTATATGATAATTTGATGATGGTGTTTTTGTAAAAATATGAGTAAACTGTATTTACACTAATTAAATTATGATGACGTTCCTTGCTAAGATTTTCTATGCCTATACACTTGCACATGTACAATTGTTTGTTCAAGCAATACACCTACATGGTTTTAGTATCGATTTTATATAAAACATCTAGTAGACATTAACAAAATCACGTGTAACATTAAACCATGAAAATGAAATAAAAAATCAGAACATACCTAAACATAGAAATAACCTACCTTACGATTCTGTCCCACATTATGCTGTGGAATTCTCGAACTTGTTAGAATACTATAAATATCATAAATCAGGTAAAAGTTGAAGTCGTAATTCTCTGATGTAGGCAAATTTAAAACATAGGTCATGTCATTTTAATATTCATATTACTTGTATGACAAGTTGTGTTTACCATAAGTGTCAAGTAGAATAAACAATGATAAATGTATAAGGACGTATTCCGCTCGCGTATCACGAACGTACTTGTTGATGGTATGAACAGAATGTTATGTTAATTGACGCTTAGTTTCCATATGTATAATCGTGTTTAAATGAACAAATTCACCTTTAAATAAAAGTTACGGTAGAAAGATAGATTTTGGTCCGTTCATGCCTTTTAAGCGGTTTGCACTCGGCGAACACTATAAAGTATTTATACAAACAAAAAAACCTATATTAATTTCATTTTACAGTTATTCGTGTGTCGGTTGGTACAATCGCAATAATAAATAAGAACATATGTCGAATCGAATGCATGCGACTCATGGTTTGGAAAAAGTTCAACTGAGTTATAATAAATATTGTGCATGAAGGGCAGATATGTCGAGTGAATGGATAATATGGAGCGAGCCAGGTAGATGTGACAAGGGTCAGGCAGATATGAATCGGATCGCGATTTAGCCCATTCATAGTTAGCAGTATCGCATTTACAAAACAAAAGGCTTGTATTTGTTTTACATATGTCATTTTGCTAAATGTGTCCCCTATTGTTTAAGTAGGGCCGTATTGTCCATGGATGTTGAAGGTCAAATAATTAAGCCTTAACATATCTAGCCGCGTTTTTCCATAAACAATGTACTACGGAAACCCTTAACTGCCATGCTACACCTTTATATACGGTAGAAAGATAGATTGTGGTCGGTCCGCTCATGCCTTTTAAGCGGTTTGCACTCGGCGAACGCTATTAAGTTTTTTTGTTTTTTTTAAATTAATGATATCATATGAACTTTATTTTACAGTTATTATAAAACACGTTATTTCAACTAATATATATAACTCTTGAATCGTTCTTTTACCTCAAGTTTAATGTCACGGAGAAGCTAGGTTGTCCTCTCTTTCGCTCGTATTCGTGTGTCTGTTGGTACAATCGTATAGTGGTGTGTATAAGTAGTCGAGTAATGGTCCAGTAACACACCGTAGAGCTGATTTCAGTTCTTAAATGTATACCCTAGACAACAGTGGGACCAATTACCACAGTGGGAACATATAAGAACATATATCGATTCGAATGCATGCGACTCGTGGTTTGGAAAAACTTCAACTGAATTATAATAAATGTTGTGCATGAAGGGCTAATATTGAACGAGCCAGATAGATATGAAAAGGGCCAGGCAGATATGAATCGGGCCAAGATATAGCCTATCCACATCTAGCAGTATCACATATACAGAACGTCCGAAATTACAGACAGCTATATGATATTTAAGTCTTGTATTTGTTTTACATATGTCATTTTGTTAAGTGTGTCCCCTATTGTTTAAGTAGGGCCGTAATGTCCGTGAATGCTGAAGGTCAAATAATTAAGCCTTAACATATCTAGTCACATTCTTCCATATATACTAAAACTGACATGCTACACACTAAATCGAAATAATATTATTTCGTTATTAAGAATTATCATTTCGTTGATTTTTTTTCGAAATATTATTTCGTAATAACGAATAATTATTTCGGTGGTTTTTTTTTACTATTATTTCGTTATAATTTGTAATAACGCAATAATATTTCGAAAAAAACCGAAAGAAAATGAGTGTGTAACAGTCGGATTAGGGGCTCCATGCTATACGCTTATATGACCGATATTGTTTAGTTCCTTGTACTTATCTAAATAAATCACGTTGTATGTACACTTTAACATAGTGTTCCTGTAAAACTGTATATGACCATAGTGTTCAAGATGAACACCGTTGATCCACATCCATTGCTGAGTGTATAGCCCATGGAAAACATATTCTCCTAGCTTTATTTTTATAAGGACTTAAAATTGAAATGTAAATATGTGATAATGTAATGTCTCTTTTATTGACGTGTTCAACCAAATTATACATGTAAATTTCTTTTTCTTTTTCATGTGCATTTGACACATCGTATATTAGTTCAAATATTTACATAAATGGTGGACTATTTTTCTCACAAGTATACCATGATATGAAATTAATAAATCGTTTTTGAAGTTGAATATATGCATATTATTTAACGGTTAAGGGTGACAAACTCAAATAAGCTTTTTTAGCGAAGGGCTGAGTAGGGCAAATAATTGAAAACAATATATGTTCCCGTTCGTTGTTCAAACTTAACACTGTTGAAATCAGTAATTCTAAAATAATAAATTGTAGCGCCGCAAATTCTTAGCGTTATATGTGACCTAATAATCATGGTTTTCTTGATATGAATGTGTTGTATTTTCTATCATATAAAAGAGGTCAAATGCCAATCTAGTTATTCATATATTGTTGTACTACACCCTTCCATAAGCCTTATTCAATTCTGTTTGGAGCGCGATAAGTCTTTTGGGAAATAAATGTACACCAATAATTAAAATAGCGTGACAAAATAGAATACACAAAAGGGGAAATTAATTACTGAATGTACCTTTATCAGTAAAAAAGGAAAACGCATACAATTTAAATAGCATTATGATCAGAATTTCAAACAACTAATGCGTCAGTATTGTGTATCGCTGAATCCATTCCTCTCTTAATGCTCAATTCATTACCATCTATTTATACAAATTCATCCTAATTATATTCTTTTTCACGACTCATAAACATTCTTGCGGTTTTTATAATGAATATACGATAGATCGTTGGGAGCAAAACGATTCGTATCCGGCGTACTGTTTTAATTGGATATAAGGAAGCCAATTAGACATGTTTTCTTTATCTAACGTAAGGAAACATATCATATATGTTATATTACTCAATATACAGTGGGATACTGCATACGAAATATCATTGAAACATAAGATTGGATGTACCATATATTCTTTAAAACTTACATAAAGAAAGCACATCCAATACCCTTTATTACTGTAACATAAAAAAGAATTTCTCATATATTTATGTATCTAAAATGTGTATTACTCTGATGTAAGGAATATCACACATTTACATTAATTTGACATAAGACATTTTAATAAAAAGATAGTACCTCATCGAAAACATTCGACGGAATACATTTGCCTGATCTACCCTGTGTATCTTTCAGTATGCATACAAATGTATTTGTAAATAAAACGTAACCAACAATCTGACATGTTTGTTATTTAATATGCGATAATTAATAATAATGATAATAATTTGAGGTTTTTATATACCGCTTTATCACAATATAGGTCGTGTCAAAGCGGTTCACACATTATTCTCCATGGTTATTGGGTCGATGCTGCCATTAAGGCTAGCATTCAACAATTCGAGCAGTGCCCAACCACGTAGTCATTTACAGCTGAGTAGACTGGAACAAACGGAGAAAGTATCTTGTTCAAAGATACAACACAGTGCCGTGGCGTGACTCGAACCAGCAATCCTTCGGGCAAGAGCCCGGCGTCCTTCCAATACACTACCGTGCCTTGATTAAAGAACAATATTTATTTATCACTTTGTGAGGTCTGACATGAATAAGTAAATAACTGTTAATTTCAATTCATCAATATTTGAATAATTTGATTCAACCAAAGGCTGCAAAACAGGAAAAAATATAAGAGTTCATAATTTCAACGTTTTATTACGCGATTTGATTTTTATTAAATACCAATGTCACTCTTTCTAAAGAAAATAAATTCGTATTTATGCCTATGTTCCTAATATTTTTTAAACTAACATTCATAAATCAATATATGTCTTATATGCTGTTCTCGAATTAAACAATCCGGTGTCCTGTAGGATGGTAAACAGCAAGACTACCACTGACATATTGTACTATGGCACAGAGGGTATTCCGTATCTAACTCCAGAATATTTCTTTGTCCATGTAACAGAAACATATGAACCACGACAGACAGCTGCAACTTATAGGGGGGAACAGAGCGCAGGAATACACCAACCCCTTACATCTTTAACACATAGTTGCGCAGGTATGTTCACTTTTCAAAAATACTTTTGTAGTCATTGATGTTTCTTATGCTTGCTTTATGATTTGCTTTAAAAATGTCAAAAATGCCAATTTAAACATAAACTTGATTATGCACGTTCTTCTTTTTAATATTCCAACAACAATTGAATGTTGTGGTGAGATTTTGTTTACCAGTCGATTAGTGCAGTTTAAAACTATAAAAGATTTACACCTTTAAGCAAATTAAGCAAGCATGTCACTTAACGGCCTCAATTTAATACAGTATTTTATAAACTTTATTTATTTTACAACAATAATGAAACAAGTTATATAACTTATATTAATCACACTGGTTGACCTGGATGTGAGCGCGCATGTGATCTTTATGTGGGAATAAATCAAAGTACCCAGCAAGAAAAGAAAAAAAACCCTGATCAGGCAGGTGACCCCCATACATTTCACGTCCGATCAGGAAATCGAACCCCGGTTGCATTGGTGAAAGGCGAGTGCGCTATCCAATGCGCCACCCGACCGCCTCGGAAATAATGTATAATATTTTACAGGTATCTTATCTCCGGCTATATCGTTCATTATCGCCGTATTATTTTTATTTATATAATAGGAATGAAGTCCCTCTTGTTCATTTTGGTGACCATGTTGGATACTGCATCCGGGTATTCAAGTTTCCAAGCACTGATTCCGAACGGGGATAGAGTCAGTGATCCTTGTGACAGTTCGAGTTGGCAAGGTGTTGGACATTGGGCCAAGGGTGGGGGCGGGGCCAGAAACCCCTTTGGAGAGGCATTTCAACAAAGTGATAGGGTAAGTCTGTTTGGTGTTTGGCATGTTGTATTTCCAAAACGATAAAGACTAGGAAATTCGGATTTGCTACGTATTGAAATCAAACACATAACTTTGACATATACTAGTAGCCAGAAAGCAAAAATTGGAACAAGAAACTTTTCACAAATATAATTTATTGAGAAAGAAAGCGAAAGAGTTGACTGATGTAAAATTTGTTCGAAAAGGTATATAAATAAAATACCCCATGAGAATATCCAAATCGGTGTTGGGAATAAATAAGATATAATTAAGAATTAAACATATGTGGTATTACTAGAAAAATCATAAACAAATTTTGAATTCCTAGAACCAAAGGGAGATATCGTTAACATGTGAGTGACCAGAACACATAACTTGGGTCATTATTCATGTACACAGGTATGGACACGAGCTCTCTGCATGGCTGATTCTGATGGTGATGGTCAATCGAATGGCGTTGAACTCGGTGATCCAGGTTGTGTGTGGACTCGGGGCGCGACACCTACGGATCGACCAACTGGACATCCAGGTATAGGAGCTATATATCTCAAACACCATAAACAGTGTACTTTGCTTCTACTACTTGAACTCTATGAACACTATTTTAATTCCTATAATAAATCACTTACTGCCATTTAAAAAAAAACCAGGTGTATATATCACTGGTTGATAGAAATCGGTTTTATAGTAACTCAATAAACCATGTAGATTGTCTTGTGATGATACTAAGGGTATTATGCATAGTATGAATATATCTAAAATAATATATTATGAAAACTGAAAAAAACAAATTATCAAAAGTGCGTCGCAAGGGAAACATCTCTTTGTATACAATGCTCATTATCACACATTTACAGATATGTATATGCAAATATTTTCTATTAAGACGGGAATCTTCTTATCTCATACACATATGTCTCTACATTTTCTTCCTATCAGGCATCTGTGAAAACTGGAGAACACCACTATGTAGGACGAGAAACTCAAACCTATTCAATTGCGCGTCTACTGGTTTACAATGCCCTGCCATCAGTGCTCAAGGTGAGACCTTTACTCAGTACACAGCTTCTATTGTCACATATAATGGACTAGGGACGCTAAGGGTCATTTTCGGCTCATCGGGGATTTATGATTAGTTGTCATATTCGTAATCTGGGATAAATGGGACAAATTCAATCGAAAGGTAGTATAGAAGATATGGCATAGCACATAGAGTTATAAACGCGCATGTTTCTTAATAAAACGCGTGAGTATCGTCCATGTACTGTATTAACGTTTTGACTAAATTAACATAACACTGGTCAATTTTTGAAAGCCTCCGCCAGCAGCAACCTAATTATATATCTGTGATTGCTAACCATCGTCATGCCAGTGAGAGGAATATTTGTTTGTCACATGCGGAGGCTTTCTTTCTGCATACTAACTGTCCGAAACACCATTTTTGGCTATTTCTGTATAGCAACGCATTTTGTTTGCAATGATAGGGCATGCCCAACGGAAAAAAACTGAATCAGGAAAGATAACCCCAATTTACCAATATGATATTGGAAAAAGGTATATTAATTAAAGTTTAAATTTTGAATATATTGGCTTTTGACGATATTAAGGTTATCATGGTTAGTATAGAATATAATATCTTTGAAATCCCTGTATTAATTTTTCAACTTTCAAGGAAATCGTGGCATTTGGAGCATTCTCTTGAATATTGATTCAACTGTGACATGAAGCCAATGTAGGTATGGGATGTTACTATCAAGAAAAGGAATGTTCAAAATTGAAAAGTCAAAATGTTCACGCTAATTGCAAAGCTTGGTATTAAAACATATCTGTTGAGCATACTTTATAATCATTATTTGTGGAAAACGACTGATACATTTGAGTCTGTAGTAACTAAGATTTTAAGTTTAAATTTTGTCGGATAATTTTTTTTTATTTTTTTTTAACTTCAGGTGTACAGCAAAAACAATTTAGGATGCCAAGAACAACGATACCAGCAACAGCTTTCTCATACATGTGTGTCAACCTTGAGTTTCCAACAGATCGTGATTATCATATTATAGCGGACACGGGAATTCTCGACAATCAGAACGCAGTGCATCATATGATTTTATTTGCGTGTTCAACGGGAGGTAAGATGAACGATAAACAACAAAACATCCAACCAAAGCCCATATCCCACCGCACTTGACGCAATCCCCACCACAACTCCCCTTGTTTATATTGAAATCAGAATAATATTAAAAAGAATTTTGAGGACGAGTCAAGTTTAAGTGGTTAAAGAAAACGTATGGAAAACCACCGATATGCGGCCGGTACCTGGTGACGGCCCCAAATAGGTCTCGAGCCCGCGACCAAGTGGTGGAGGGCTAGCGATCGTAGATGCCTTAATAACCGCTGTCCCGGCAAATCTGTAGAACAAATCGACATCGTCATTTAATTTTAAATATACTATAAAATAAAAACTGTTGTTAATACATTACTTGAGTTGACCTGAAAAACTAATCATTTTCATGAAATATGAACGTAATTCACATTTCTTGTAAGTCAGACTAGTGTTCACAGCTGTTAAGTTCCTAGATGAAATTAAGCTGAAGATATAATGCATAATTCAAACGAATTCCTACTATCATTTATTGACAGATATAGTCGAGGAAAACTAAAAATGGATTACAGCATAGTTGAATTAAAATATGAATAAACATATAGCAAAAATAGGATATTACGGCCAACTACAAAACTAGCAGCTTTTCACATCACAAGACTCTTCAAGTTCCACGTGTAACATAAAGAGCCCTGCGATAGGTTTAAGCTGCTAGTTTTGTAGTCGGTCGTTAGTCCTTACTTTTTCTTTACTTACCCACCTCACATAAACTTTTCATCTTTTTTATTATGAACGAACATTATACATATATGTTTTTATTTAAGTGACCGCTGCTGAGCTGCAGCATGCTGTCGGGAGACCATACCCGTGTGAGATGTTGCCTGATTCAAAATGTCGAGACATAATTACCGGTTGGCAACCCGGTATACCGGGCTTCTGCCATCCTGGACATATTGGTTTCAGCGTTGGAGCAAGCAGAGTCAGATATGCTACCTTGCAGGTAAGGTCAGACATTTACTGCGATATACTCTACCTTTCATTTGTATACATTAATTATTGCTAATTTTTAGGTAGTGTTGTTTTAAATGAAAAGCACAATACTGGGATACTAGATTCAGTATATATCTATACGATATGCAATAATTCTTGTTTTTTTGGTATCTCTGGTATCTCTGATAAGTGTTTCACAGGAAAAGATTAATATATTCTACAAATCTCTATTTAATTATTTAAAACTTCAATTAGATTAGATGAAACGTGTATTGTTGAATTCCCGAATCATAAAATAATGTCTCATTTACATCGTATTATGTATAATTATATAAACGTACTATAATTACAATAAGTTTATATAATAATCCTAATTTTCATGTGAATGACCGTAGCGACTAAACAACGACTGATCTGAGTACATATTGACTAAATTAGATGATCTGACCACATGGGCTTTTTGAACAATGTTTACTTGCCGAAATATACACAGTCTAATCCTCCTTGCTACTTCCAGTCGCCATTTTGTAAACAGGACATAATCTCGAGCTGATGCGCGTTTTAAAGAGTTTGAAGTATTGCAAAGCTTCTAAACGATCATGCCCAGAACATATCCTCTAAGGATGATGTTTTTGATAAATTTGATATCAATTGTTTACTATATTTCTTTGCTGTATTTCTTTCATTAATTCATAAAAGAGCATATTGATTTTTTCCCCTTCAAACTTTTGTCTTTCAAATGTAAAAACACATTTTTTTGGAAAAAATGTTCTAGTTTCGAGATTATGATCAAACTTCGTCTGCTTCGCAAAAAATCAAGAAAAAATATTTACAATGTATTGATAATGTTTTTGTTAACTCGTTTATTCTTTAAACTATCTTTAATTAATAAATATCAAGATTTTGTGAATTGAAAAGTTGCATTTTTTGACGTAACCGGAAAAGTTCGTGATTAAAAGCTTGTGTGGTTTTTTTACCTTAAAACTATCAGATAAAAGCATAGTGGCATGTAACATCAAGATACAAGATACAAGAATCTTTATTTTACGTTGATTATAGGCCTATGTCATAGTTAACATAAGCTCTCAGGAGCTTTCGACAAACATTTATATATATAAATGGTAAACAATTGTAACAGTGTAAAGGCAAACAACAAATTTTATCATAATATACCTACGTTGGAAGGATTAAGATAAAGAGGCTAAATAATCATGCTGTACATAATTTGGCAGTAAAACAACTTACTTAGTAAAACTTAAAAAGCAGTCTAGAGTGCAGGTGATTGGGACAGTCCCTACCTAACAGCCCTCTGTCCAAAAGTTTTTGTTTTTTTTAAACATAGCGTTTATTTGTAACCTCGAGCACGGGTTTGGTAGCCGTTAATATTGGGAGACGTTTTTAGTATTGTATTGTCTCGGTATGGCTACGAATGCGTTCCCGGTCAGGTAAAGGAGCAGCAAATGTTTTAATTTCAAATATAGCACATTCATGAATTCATAAATGTACAATGTTATTAAAATAATATTCATACAGTGCATGCAAGCTGAAATTAAAAAATCATTGGTTTAAATAACAAGTCATCATTTCCATTAAATTATCCAAATAAATAAGATCTTTATGTCAAAATAAACTTCAGGTTTGTTGAGTATTGTTTAATGTACGTCCTATCGACAGCTATACATGGTCATTTAAGGACGGCCTCCCCCATTTGCGAGATGCATGTGTGTGGTGAGTTTGTGCATACTTGATTTGTGTTTTGGGAGTCTGTGGTATGTTCATGTTTGTCTCTTTGTGATAGCGCAGGACTGATGCTGACTTGATAGTGTACTTTCACTGGAGCATACTGCTAAAGACACATCTTGTTTTACAATCGAACCTCGTTATCTCACCATCTTCAATAGCTAAGGGTTTATAATTTAAATTTGTTCAATTCAACCTTGAGGAATTAGCCTTGTGTTTAATTTCACTCCCATGCCACCTAGCAGAGACACTGTACTAGCAAAACTTTAAACTTTCAAGATTATTTTAGCACTTGTCGCCTATGTATTTCCCTTGGTTATCATTTACAGTTACAATATGGCCAATTTTGTCTACCAACTGATCAAATACAGAAAATGTTTCAGTAGTGTCCTCCTTTGTTTTTTATACAAATCATTACATAGTCGACAAGACAACTTGGTACTGGGCGCCGCCATTATTATTTACATGCACAGGGACTTGGTATTAATTTCTAACCCTCAGTTCACATATATGTGTATTATATAATGTATGATATCAAAAAAAATGTGGACCATAGGATGGTAATTCATGCCAAGTCCCTGTGCCAGGTTCAATAATTTGAAAGTTTAGAGAACAAGGCTAAATCCGCTAAGGTTGAATACATGAATATGTGAATACAAAATGAACGCTTGGCTATAGCAAAGATGAGATGTTACAGGCTGGACAGATAGTGACAACAAACACAGGCTGAAAACATGTATGGGTCTGTTTTTCTTAAGAGAGGCTGTATAAACACATTATGAATATGTAGAATTATGATGGAAGTCCATTTTACCCGAATTACCTGACGTTATTTTCAATATACCTTCAGTCCATCTGTATTTCCACACTGTTCTCTATAAGGAATAGGAATCAATTTGTTTTGGGGTTTTTATTAATCCTCGCAACCCTTTTTAATTTAAGTCATATGCATAAGAAAGGTCTGCCAAATATCTGAGTCTTTGACAACTTCACTACAAACATATAGCAGGAATTGAGCTTTCTATATCCACTGCACTACACTTCATATTATTTGTTGACATTTTTCTAATACAGTACATGGAGTTTCCTCAAAAGATGCTGATAACCAAAAAGAGTCTGAAACCTTAATTTTATCCTTTAGAATACTGTGTTTAAAAAAGAGCTTATGTTCATGTATCTCTTCGATCTACTAAACATCAACAAACAACATTTAAACGCTTCATTCCCTAAACCTGTGATTAAAAGGATTGTAAAAAAATATTCTGTTCAACATTCATATTTACAGTTCAAATCCACTAATACATAAGTTGACATAAAACTGTACTTCAGTATTTTGTGGTCTGATTTTTGACAGCTAAATAAGTCTCATCAAGGGTGTTGACAGGTCAGAAGTTGAAGTTGAAGTAGCCAAAGTTATTTGACTGTAAGAGTTGTACCCCTTTGTTTGCTTTCCTATACATCTTATTCTGGCAGTTTAACATTCATATTTTTATTTTTCCATTTGTTATGCACTTATATACATCTGATGAGAATGGGAGATATTTAAAAATGCACAAAATTCACCAAAAAAGCTGAAAGTTACAAAAGGCCAAACGGTGAAACGTTGAACATTTTACTGTAATATTTGTTTTACTTTCCATGTGGGGAGGATTTTAAATGCATCTCGACTGTTTTATCAATCAATTAATTTTCATTTAGATGGTGTCCCTGATAATTATTTCTTACATAATTTGATATTTGTTTCAAGTTATACTCATACTCTCTGTTTTATACTAGGAACACTTTCTACGTACTCTAAGTATTTGTGCAGTTATGATTGATTGTCTTCCTTTTGATAATATTCCTGTGAGTTGTGTCCCTCATACGATTTCCTCACATTCCTTTCTGTTATATATCGGATATAGTTTGTTATTTCTATAAGTTCCCAGTTTTCTTGTAGATAAAATATGTCATGTTTAGGTGATTTTTGAGAATTGATGGTTTTGCGAAATTTGCTTATTGTTTTGTAAAGTATCAATATTTCTATGTATATAACATATATAGGGTGCTCCCATAGCTACCACTTTCTTTAAAATGTAGATTTTTTTCCCGTTGTTTTTGGAGAGAAAAAAATCCCAAAATTTTCGTCAGTTTTGAAGTTTTGCTTAAACCTTACTATACTGACTACTTGGGGGACACTGAACATACCAAAATAGATCTTTTGCCCCCATTGCAACACACTTGGGATCTTAAATCTTTACTTTCTTTCTTCACTTTCTTTGTCGTGCCGCCTGGGAAGCATGGCGAACACTTTAGGATCACGCTGTCCGTCATCACACGTTGTTGTTGGCGGGAACAGTCACATTTTAGTTTTTCAGATTTTTTTTCGCCACAATTTACCATATCAATTTGTAACTATGCATGTGGCTTAATCATAATAGATTACAGATCAAGTTCGAACCACGTGCCAATATTTTATTTTTTTGCTGGAGAATTTCTCATAATCAACTGTTTGCCATACTTTGTTCGTTACCGCTTGCCACTTAGTATGTGACTTTATCATATTGGATTACAGTTAGAGTCCAAAACCTGTGTCAATATTTCATTTGTTGCTGGAGTTATGGCCCTTTGCACGTAAGAAATCTCATAATTAATTGTTTTCCCGAACTTTTTTTCGCTACCACTTGCAACATCAACTTGTTACTTAATATGTGGCTTTGTCATAATGGATTACAGTTTGAGTTCGAGCCCCGTGTTAATATTCCATTTTTGCTGGAGTTATGGCCGTTTGCACATAGGAAATTATCAAAATTAACTTTATTTTTTACTTATTTTCGCTACCGCTTGCCATGTCAATTTGATATTTTGTTTGTGGTTTTATCATAATAGAATACAGAGTTTGAACAATGTATTTATATTCCATTTTTGACTGCAGTTATGACCCTTTTGCACATAGGAAATTCTCATAATTAACTGTTTTCCATATTAGTTGTAACTTAGTATACATTTATAATGGATTACAGTTGTTTTTCCTTTTTTTTCTTTTTTTTTTCTAGAGTTATGGCCCTTTGAACATAGGAAGTTCTTAATAGTAACTGTGGGTTTTTTTCGCGACGACTTGCCACATCAATAAGTTACTTGATGCTTGACTTTTTCTTAAATGAAGGATTACAGTTCGAGTTCGATCCTCATGTCAAATTCTATTCACACAATACGTGTCATGCACTCATGATACCATCCACATATGAACTTAGGTGTTGTGTTGACGTTAAGCTCCCTCAACCATCCAACACGCAACTGAAAGCATAATGCTTTCCATATGACCAATATGGTGCCCATGATATTTCAAAATGACACCCTTTAATTGTGTGGGTGCACGTGCCGGCAACACATCCACTTCCTTCGAATTGTAGTTTTCTTCTATAGGTGTCTCCTTGACACCCATCCTCATATGACCCTGGCTGTTGCGAGGACATAAATCACCTAATAGAGTACATCCTTTGAAGTTTGATGATGTTTTCAAACCAATGGTCTGGAGCATTACTTGGTTAAGAAGACTGAACGCCTTTTAACAGAGGGTCTCTCTCATAATAATCTGGCTCCCTAGAAGGAGGAGTGGGGTCCCAAATGTGGATTCTACAATTCAATTACTCAACTTGTTGTTAGGACCCCTGCACATCTTTAGTAATCAGGTTTTCCGTCTGTCTATCCTTCTATCTGTTTTTAAGTTCACCTGCCAACTACAAGTGAGCTTTTACCCTGGTGCGGCGTCCGTCCTCTGGCTATCGTCCGGCCCTCGGGCGTCAAATTTTCCCTTTAAACATCTTGTTCTCAATAACCTAGAGGCCTAGAGACCTAGCTAGCTGGTATTGGGTCTGTAGCGTGCTGGGATGAAGGGCTACCAAGTTTGTTCAAATAAATGACCGTGATCTACAGTCAAATGTGCTATATTTGAATAAAGTGGTAATGAGCTTAGCAGCCACATCAATCGCCTAGGTCAGCTTCAAAGTTGCATTAAAAGCAAGTGAGCGACAGGCCCATTGGTCTTCTTGTTTAATTTTTGCACAATATCATCAGTAATATTGTTTGGATTGCTTTCAGACTTTATCCAGTGCTTTTTGGAAGAAAGTGCTTGCTTTGAATAGCTTTTCAGGCCCGGCGGTCAAAAGTCAAATGTCACTGTTACCATGAATAGCAAATTAATTTAGGCACACTTTTCCAATTCTGTTTGGATGATTACACTCAGGCTGTATCAAGTGCTACCTCGGAGAAAGTGCCTGCTTTGGTGCCTTTGTGGTGAAAGGTTAATGTCATTGCTACTTTAGAAAGTATTTGCTTAGGATACAAATTGTAGCTTTTGAGGCATCGATGTCAAAGTTCAAGGTTAATGTTACTATATATAGAAAAACATTTCATGCACAATATTTGGAGCTCTTTTGGGCCGTATGCACTCAGACTTTATCCAGTGTAATAAAATCTTTGGTTAAGCTTTTGGATAGCTTTTCAACCTTTGATATCAAAGGTCAAGGTCAGTTACTATAAATAGAACATCAGTTTGTGCACTGTATTTCGAATTCTGTTGGACTGATTACACTCAGATTTTATCGAGTCCTTCCTGGAAGAAAGTGCCTACTTAAGATAACTTTTCAGGTCCAGTGGTCAAAGGTCAATTGGTCACAATAAATAGAAAATCTATTTAATGTACTAATGCACAATATCTTGATTTCTCTTTGGCTGATTACATTCTTGACTTTATCCAGTGCTTCCTCAAAGAAAGTGTCTGCTTGGGATAACTTTCCATGCCCGGGGGTTAGGTCTCTATCACTGTTACTATATGAATAGAAAATCAGTTTATAAAATGCACTACTTATATTTTGAGTTCTGTTGGGCTGATTACTCTCAAGACTTTATCAAGTGCTTTTATAAAAGAAAACACTTGCTTTCACTAGTGTTTGCTACCTGTATACCTAACCACAGTTTCTTTTAAATATTCAATAAACATAATTATGGAGAATAGTCACAGCGGAATTTCATATATATATATGTATATATAAATCTTATTACCGGTTAGCTTGTAATAATTATGATATTAATAATAATGCGAGGTTCTTATATACCGCTTTATCACAACCTTGTTCGTAGCTCGTCTCAAAGCGGTTCACAAATTATTATCCGTGGTTATTTTGGGCATTTGCAACCACCCAACATGTTTCTCAACTCCCTGAGGAGCATACAGCTTGTGCTGCCATTTTTAGAGCTCATAGATAACATTCAACAATTCCAGCACTGCCCAACCACGTACTCATTTACAGCTGACTAGACTTGAACAAGCAGAGTAAAGTATCTTGCTCAAAGATATAACACATTGCCGTGGATCGAACTCGCAATCTTTCGGTCACGAGCCCGGCGTTCTACCACTAGACTACCGTGCCTATACATTTGCAAACGCAAACAAATCTGGTGAATTTTAATGGAATTAAACATTAAGCAACAAATCATTGCTTTCTTATGACTTCATCAGTTTACATAATTTGATTTTTGAAATTTTATTTAGGTCCACTGGATTAACCCGCTCAGAAGGACAGGCATGACAGACTCATCAGGAATGGCCCTTTACCTTACACCAAATTTACGAGAATTCAATTTATCCCACTTAAGAATAGGCGATATCTCCTTTTCAGTTCCCCCAAAAGAGAAATCGTTTTCATTAACAGCAAATTGTGCGTCTGCATGCACAGCAAAGCATCTGACGGGACCAATAAATGTCTACCAAGGGTTCGATCACATGCATTATACAGGTAATGTTATATTCATTTCTTAAAAATAGAGTGGTATATATAACAAGTCTTAGCGTTTGAAAAGTTTCACTCTTTTACTTTTAACTCATTCACCCTTGACATTTCATAATGATCTAAATTGGAATAGTGCAAATGTGTCTTCAGGGGTGAATGAGTTAAGTACATATAAATATTTTGGGGAAAATTTTCGCGTTGACAAACTTCTGTTATATAAACTTGTATATTTCATACCGTGTACATGCTTTCACGCTGATTTCGTAAACGGGAAAGTATCGAAACATTCCACCCCATGAAAAAGAACAGAAACTTCGTTTAGAACAGTTTTATTTTATTTTTTCCAGGTAGAGAGATCAAATTAACACTAAAACCACAAGGAACGGGACCGGAAAGGACTCTTTGGAATAATCCTTTTTTCTCGTTTCAAACTACTGTGTTTCATAAGTATGTAGAACGTTTATTTTATTTCTGACTAAATAGTCACATCCCATTATCTTTAGTGTGAGCTATTCAAATGAAACCTTTTACCTTCGAAAAAACCAGGATGATACCGAAGGATAAAACATTCCGTAATTCGGAATCAAAACGATAAAACAAGAGCTAACTTTGAACAATGAAAAGATTGACAAGGATACCATTGAAAACGATTACGAGGAAAATAAGACCACGTGTTCTGGAAGGATAAGCGTCTTCTGCGAAAGCAGAACAATTTGTTTTAATATAGCCCGAGTTTTCTCTGGCCCTAACACCAGACTTAGAGATGTTTACATAAAGATGTCTGGTGTGGGGTCAGAGCGCACTGATATATCAAAACGTGGAATTATCTGACACCGTTTGGTATCGGAAAGTTATGAGTTGCTGAAAACAACAATTTACTATGACACAACACATACCTCACATATATCGATAAATATATTTTTTATTGATCCAAATCAGCTCTTATCATCACCTACAGCTGCTAAATTCCGTCAGTAGAGTCCTTGATTTTCAATCCTTCAACATTTCCCACCCGGGCGTAGGTCATAGGGTGACTAATCAGCAAACCGTACTGATCTGGACCGAAAACGGAATATATTATTCTTGTTTAGAAGTTTCCCGGACTGCTATTTTTGTTGTTGATTAATCACTCCCCGATACCAAACGGTGTCGGAGAATTCCATATTTTCATATAGCAGTGCGCTCTGGCCCCACACCAGACATCTATATGTCAAAATGTCTAAGTCTGGTGTTGGGGCCAGATGAAAATCGGGCTAGTTTTAATACTGCATTGCCACACGGGATGCTACACCTGAAATATGATAAACGGAACATTTCTACTCATTTATTTTTTCATAAAGCGTTTGTTTATTATCAATATTATATCAACTGGTGTTCCGTTAATCACTATTTGTATTTAAGAAGTGTGATATCTTTTTTTTTTTAATTATGCAATTATTTTACGAGGGTACCAGCGTTAAAAATGACGGATTCTGCCAGACGTGTGAGTTATATAAGGTATTTAACGTGCATCAAAACGTCAAGATCTCTTAATACTATGGAGTGCGACATCGGTTATGACGTCAGATTTTTATGACGTCACAACTAAGGACAATACCGAACACACACATTTCCTCCTTACTGATTGGTTGTTTTGTTGATAGATATCTCTCAATGTAGTGAAAATAACACTTTTATAAAATCATTTCACTTTATAAAGATCTGAATTCGGTCATCGTTTATGTTCATGTTTATGTTTTGTGAGTGGGTATAGATTTGAAACATTTCAATAAGGAGAAGTAATAAATTTCTATGAGCCTGTATATGCAGTTGCAGAGATGGACATTAAGCGTTCAAATAGAACAAAAAAACTCAAATTATGTTTAATTAATTTAATGGGAGAAAACAAAACATGAAAATAGCTAGGAATTGCATCTTATAAAATATGTGTACCCCACAACTACGTGACCATACTTCATGATAAGACTTGTCCAATACAGAACCTTTCACGTTCAGTATTGGTCATCAACGATGTAAACACACTGTATATGTAATCGTGACGGATGCTGAAAGTCTGTAATTGAAAATGTTAGATGATACATATTTTCCCTACACTCTCATTAGCTGGATCACAATCACGTGGAGGTTAGTGATTTGAGATATTGATACGTCTTGATATTTTCGAAAAACAGCTAGTCAATATTATTTTTATGATGTCATTTCAATTGCGACGATATTATTCTCTCTGGCAAATGCAGTATTTTTCTTCTGACATTGTCATTCTGTCCTTTATTTTAACGATTTAAGCATAATTTAGCGTTTAATAAAACTATTAAGGACTTTTACCTCGGCAAATCCGTGGTGATATAGACCTGAAAGGGTGATATATTTTTCTCGGCTTCGTCTCGGTTAATATCACTTTCTCAGGTCCATGTAACTATATATCCACCTCAACAAAATTTAATAGTTGATAAATAAAGTCATTATGTTAACTGCAAAAGCAAAGATTGAAGCCGTAAGGGATATAAAACATCAATTTGTTAACATGAAGACAACTATCCTGAATTCCCTGTCCAACTGCTAACCAAAACAGTAGATATTCCATGGTGGTCTTTATTTCCAACGTCTCATCAATTTTGTTTTGGATAGAAGCGCAGTGAGACTTGACCAGTGAACTACCGCTGATGAGGTATCCTAGACAGTTTAAGTGATCGGGTGTTCAATGTTCACTGTTGTTGGTATTTATATTTCGTTTTATTTAGTTAGATTTTTTCTTTATTTCTTGTTTTGATATTTTCATTAAAGCGAGTTTAAAAGCTATTTCATGCCGGTAAGGGTTTCCAATTCATAGTTACATTGTTTGGCAATATTTCGGGGATGCTGGAAAGAGACTTTGATGTACATAATCAATGGTTTACTGTAAACTCTAAGAGGAGGAGATATGTTACTAAAAAGAAAAGGGAAGTTGATGATTATAACTTATGATAGCATATCCTATTCTGTGACAGTGCGGGCTTTGCGGTACTCTTTCCAACAGGAAATGTTTCGAATCTTAAAAAAATAGAATATATGTATTCTTTTACGAAAAAGGCTAATTATTTTCGTAATATTGACATTAGGGTGCTTCCTTGAAAATTCTTCTGTGTTGTTTTAAATTGACAACCAGTAAAATGGAAGTTAACAATCCTCATCTGAACTCATGTGACCACAATTGTTTCCAAATTCTTCTTGCAACATCCCAGCTCAAACATTGATTCGATTGAAGGGTCGGTTAATTGCAAAGTAGAATTTTAAAATCTATTACATGAGGTATTATATTTATCTTTTAAAACTTATAAGCGTTATTAAAACCGATTAAAAGGGTATCTCCTCCTTGTTACACCATAAATGCTTGCAGTTTTATATACAAATATAAAAACATTTGCTGAAGATTCTTTACATTTTATGATTCAGAATGGAAAATCCTGTACAGATAAGACCAGGAGATTCGTTACATACGACTTGTAACTATAACACGGAATCGAGAAATAAGACCACATTCTTTGGACAACGTGCAACAGACGAAATGTGCTTTGCTTTCCTGCAATTCTACCCTGCTGAAAACGCATTACAAACTGGGTGTACGAGCGAGGCAGGTTTACCGCAATGTCAAGTGAGGGATTCAAATGCCGTGATCGACGGCTGTAGAATGTCCTTTACGTCAAGTCCAGATCTTGAAGTCATGAAAAAATTCGTAAGTATTTCATTTTTTCTCCACTTAACAATTTTACTTTCGCTAGAATAAAAAAAAACCCGAACAATATAATTTATTTTTCTTCACTTTACTATTTTACTTTCGCTAGAAAAAGACCGAAAAAGATATTTCATTTGCCTATCAAGTTAAATCAATTTCAAAACTGAGCGGCATCGGGTCGGGTTATATCTTTCAGGTTTTGATATCCATCTTCTTTGTGGATTTGTCAACTATTCTAGCTGTAGTCCACTTTGATCTATTGTAGTATTTGTTGTTTATTCGTAATCTATTACGTTTTAACAGCTGAAAGACAACTGCAACCCATTACAATGCCTCAAAGAGTGTATAAATGTGGTAAAAGCCATCAGAAAGCATCCATGCTTCCGGAAAGAAAATATCAGAAAACTAATAGAAGAAAGACTAGTTCAAATGAATCTTTTTGAATCGCTAGCCCATTTCCATTCATGTGACGTAGAAATAGCTAAGGAGGAAGCAATGTGCCAAGGTATTCAAGCTAGCCCAAGTGTAAAATCCACAAGGTGTCTCTGTAACAAACGGCCATACCTTAGGTGGATACAGTGACATTTTAAAGATAAAATGGACATTGACCTTAACGGGTTATATGGGAAATTAACCATAACGGATAATATGGTATATTAACCATAACTGATAATATGGTCTATCATACTTAACGGATAATATGGACATCAACCTTAACGGATAATATGGTATATTAACCAAAACGGATAATATGGAGATTAACCTAAATAGATAACATAGACATTTACCTTAGCGGATAATATTGACACTAACGGATAATGTGGTTTATTAACCTTAACGGATAATATGGTTTATTAACCTTAACGGATAATATGGACATCAACCTTAACGGATAATATGGACATAAACCTTAACTGATATTATAGAAATTGACCTTAGCGGATAATATAGACAACTACTCTGTTGAATGAAATCCCCATGAAATATTGGATGCACTTCCCATGGGTACAACAAACAACGGAATTTCTTCTCGAACCAACACTCTCTCCCCTGATTTTTTTCATCATGAGGATCGATCAAATATCAACAAACACAAATCTTGACATAATGTGTGCACGATTCTTACAAGATTATATCATGAAGATTTTGAAAGCTGAAAAGATATTTTCATTCCAGTCCTTTATATCAATACGACAAAATGCAAAACTTGAACGAAACAAATATAATAAATTTGTTATACGATCTCATGCATCTACGTTATCAAATTATAGCATTTTATTATATCGATAGGAGATAAAATGATGCATTTATGCCGTCATCATGATGTAATTTACTTCATATGTCAATATGCAAATAAAAATGTATTACTGTAGCATTACAGTGACGTACATCAAAGATATATGCACAGTTGCTACAAGTCATAATAAAGGGATGTTTACACATGTATGCATCTTATTTAGTCTGAGTGTTTTAAATTATTTAATATCTATCTTAAATGTGATATTGCAATTAAATTAAATTACATCTTTGATATTAAGATGGAGAAAGGTGACCAGACATAAATGAAGAATTTTACTTCTATTCTGTAACACTGTATACTGTTTATGTGGTACACAAACGAGGAGTTAAAGTTATTTCATACAGCGTCATGTAAGTGTATATGGTTTGTAATGGGCTCATAACTTTCCTCAAAATGAATAAAGTATGGAAGTTGCTTCGTTAACTCATGTCAAGAACAATGTCAATAATTACCTTTGCGGAAAATTATTTGTCGAAAATATTGTTGATTTTGTCTGAAATGTAACTTTTGTCCGCATAATTTGAGTGGCACAAAATTGCGATGAAAAATTATATGAATGAAAAACACTTAACTGTACGTGCATACCTTAAGTATCCATGTATTCACTTTTATCGCAAAAAATGTAAGAAAATGAGTCAAATCTCCAGAATAATGGCATATATTTCCATTGAATAAATCACAACTGAGCACAAGGCTGACTGAGGTTGGTAAAAAGCATGCAAAGCAAGTGAGATTTTTACCTGTACGCCATTCACTACAGATTCTCACTCAAATAATCTAGATTGACTTGTATCAATAGCCTTGTTAGCTTTATGAATTATTGTAAAAATTTACAATCAAAATACATGCCATCATTCTTGAGATTTGAAGCATTTTCTTACATTTTTCTGGATAGTAGTTAATACACGGATACTTTAGAAATACATGTACAGGTAAGTTTCATGAATTGTAATATTAAATGCAATTTTGTGCCACTCAAATTCTGCATTCAAAAGTTACTTTTCTGACCAAATCAACAATATTTGCCACAAAAAAAAATCTGCAAAGGTAATTATTGACATTATTTTTGACTTGGATATACCAAGCAACTTCTGGTTTTTTTTTCATTTTTAGGAATAGTTGTGAGCCCTTTGACAAACATTTGTTACTATATACACTGACATGAGTCCGTATGAAATACCTTAAGGTTCCCTTTTTACCATGTATATTCTGCACATTTAATACAAAACAAAAGTGAAGCTTTTGTTTCTTCGTTTCTGTACCATGGAACACTTGTGTGGCTAACAGATAAGGCATCATTACTTGTTTCTGTGCTGTGGTGTACTTTTGTGTGATCACGAACGGCCACTAAAAGCTAGTGAACGAACAAATATAGCATGGTCGCTTTTGGCTAGACAGAAACATAAAAAGTGTGTAACGTAAAATTGTACCTTGCGAATGTAACGTGGTATTAAACCGAAGTATAAGTGCTTCGTTTGCGTATCACACACAGTGTACCGTGAAACAGAAACGTTGTACAGTATAAATGACACGTAGCGTTACCGAGGATGTGCCTGTATTAATTAAACAGGCATTGGACATTTGGATAAGATTTGTTTTAATGTCCAGATGATATAAAATAGAGGTTTCAATTTGATATGATTTTTTTTTTATTTTTTTTTAGAAATTTGCAGTTCTGCAATGTTTTAATTTACCAGGTATCTTACATTTCACTTTCTCGCAATTGGCATTCTAAACAGAGACAGTCGTACTTGATTGTTATTTATATATAAGTTGAAGTGATCTAAACAAATCTTATTGATAATTACAGAATGACAACTGAGACTCTGTCGCTATCCATATCATTATGATGCTATAAATACCGTTAGTGTGAAAATAGGTACTGAATGCGAGCACCGAGTCATGATTCAAAACATTTTACATACATTGACATCTTAAATATCTGGAACAAATATTCTATAATGTGTATTTGTATACATGTATGTGTGGTCGGAAGTCAGAATAATTACCATACAATTACACTGCATTAGCATAATTAATGATGCTTATAACATGTCATATGAAGTTCGTGGTTTGAAAATCATGTAATTTCTTTCATGTCCAAAGGTCAATATATTCTACCTTCAAAGATTAAATGTTTCATGTTATACGAGTCTTTATAAGGTAATGAAATTGTTTGACTTATATACTGCAAATGACATATCTGGGTTTCATTAGTGATAATTTGAAATAAAGGTAATTTGCTTTGATTGTTTTCCGACAAAAATAGAACGAAATTATGGTTACTGATTTTTACTTGAATGGTCGCAGAATAACGGGATCAAAACAAATAATTTATACTAGAAAGAATACGGTTTCATACATAACATCTAAAACACTTTTTTGAATTAGTGCTTATATATAATGCTTTGAGCGACCTGATTCCTATGATTGGTATTTTAAGAGATATCAATTTATGAACATGCTTTGTGTTACACTAGACACTTTGACACTATATGAGGTGACAGAACCAAAATTGGATCACCAAACCAATTTTTTTATTCATTCATTGGAAATTCTCTAGATGAATTATATTGGTTTAAGGTTGTATCCACAAAAGAATATTTCTATATTCAGAATTTATTCCTAGAGTTCAAAACAAAATACATAGTCCTAGCACGCGCCGTTTATGAGTTTGAAATACGCCTTCTTAAGCTTTTTATGCTTCTTATCTGAACTTTAAAATTAATCATCTCTAGACTAAATATGATGCATAACTATATATTATACAGTATTGTAATAACTTAACTGTTGACGTAATTGTTGATTTAAGAGTAACTTTGTAAAGAGTGATCCGATTTGGGTACTGATCCGATTTGGATTCTGTCTCCTTGCCTATGTAGATATAAAAAGATGATGAAGCCATTCATATGAAGTTAAATACTGTACATTGCTTCTTTGAATTAAATGTATTGGAGTATTATATATCAACCTCCTATCAATTTTTTACACAAAAAAAAGTGTTATCGTGCATTAACTGCAATACTAATGCCAGGAAAAGGAAAAGAATGTTATGTAAAATTGTTGCCAAAAGTATTCATTTGTTGTTCCCATATTTCGTGGCTTAATAACAATTGATGAGAAGGTTTAAATGTTTGTTAAAATGTAGAAACAATATATGAAATATTCGGCTATTAGATGATATGAACTTTTAACAATTTAGTCCTTGTATGGAATTTAGAGTCGATATTAAGAATTAGTAGGAGTTACATCCCCTTCGACACAAAAACGGAAAGAAAATAGTTAGAACGTCCAACAAATCCTCTTACAACTCCACGCTATTTGCCGGCTAAATATGAACTCATCAATCATCTGCCATTGGGTAAGTATGAGTTGCTTCAAAAATGGTCTACTGTCTGCATGTGACTATTGTAAATGACAAAATATTGGTTATCACCGTCCTTTTCATGAATATCCTTTATGATAACATCATTGGATCAGGAACTCTCCATATTTATATATGCAAATGAGAATATCACTTTCATAAAATAAAGTTAGATTTTTTTTTCTATACCAGTTAACATATGTTTATGCTCTGTTGCAGCTGCTTTTTTATCTAGATTTTGACTCGCAGAACGCTAACAACAATTATATTATACTTGTTAAATATGCTTCGTTCCTTATGTTCGCATTTAAGCAATTATTCATTATATGGACCTTTAGTTAATGATTTTTGTCAACTGTTCGAATTACCCTAACCTATAAGCATGCGTCTTGTGTGAATTCAACTTGAATAAAGACATTTTCGTTAAAATTCAGATTTTGTTTAGGTACATGTAAGACACTGTACATGTAAAAATTATATTTAAATCGGGTTTGCTTTTTATTTGAGAACAATTCTGCTGAACAGTTGCTCCATCATCAAAATGGACATTCGACGATAGCCAGTTGTTTAGCAATGATCTTACACTGTACAAACTTTCTTCTACATTAGAAACAAAATCCTGATTTAGTTGATAAACAAAAACATTTGTTCGATTTAGGAAATGAGAAATGTAACATTTCTGTTATTATTTAGAGAAATTATGAAACAAAATATGCATATACACCAACAGTCAATGTTTCGGTACAACCAACCAAGAACGTGTTATTTTACCTAATGTATTTAACATCATTTCTCCTCACGCGCTCGAGTTTCCCTGATCATATTTTCCTTATCCGGAGACTTTCTACTAACACTGGCAAAAGACACCACAATTGAGTTCCGAGAGGCTGAAGCAAACGAGAGCAATGGCGAGTCAACCCAATCATCTGAACTATTGTGGTATTGTTTATTTCGGCAGAATGAACTATTTATAACCCTTGTGTTAGGGAAACAAGATGATGTTTTGCTCCTCGATTCACCCTCGTGAAACATTATCTCCAATTCAAATTTGAGATTATTTTTCAATAGGCTTGGCGGCACACTAGTAACATGAAATATTGATTCGAAATGTTATAAATGTGACATCAGAGTACATTTAATATGACGTCATTGTCACCAAGCAAGTGTAATGGTCTCATATGGTCTCGTATATAGTGAAAACATAAGGTGAGTGTAAAAATAGAAATATAACATGGAACTTATCATTCAGACCTTCTTTATTTCAGCAGCATGTCATAATACGATATTTACAAGCATAGCTCGCTTAACGACATATGTCTCTCACATCATACATATCTAAGTTTTAATTATGTGGGGTGATGTAAATAAAATGCGCTATCAGCATTAACTTCGGGATATATTTCTGAAATCTGACAATTCCCAATTATATTAGACTTACAATGTGAAATTGAATTATTTTCATTAAAAATGCAACCAAGAAATGTCACAAGTTGATATAAACTCACACATTTATAAATTCTTTTAATTTTCACACTCACAACTCATCAATGTCTTCTTAAATAACAATCTAACATTAAACATTTAGTCCGTATTCTACCGATATGAATGGGAAAATCAAAACAGATGTTACATTATTTATAACTGAAATAAAAACTTCCATTTCCATTCGTTAAATCTGCCATATAAACCTATATACTATCACATCAACAATGCGCTATTAATAAAGATACAATGTTCTTAACAAATTATAAATTAAGGTTATCCAGATACGATGCTAATATAATATAACTGAAATAAGATTAATTGACCTAACTTATATTTTCCTTTTTATTTTTTATTTCGGTAGTGTGCCTCAACGTTTTTTTCATAATCATATCAAATTCGAAAAAAACACACCTGTTGTTTCAAATTTAGAAAAGAAAAAATAACCTCTATTGATAATGTTCTTTTCAATTGATAAAAAACGAACTCAACTTTTCTAACAATTTATTTATACCTTCGTCTCAAATTCATATGTAAAAATATTTTTTCCAAAAGTTCTTTTGCAAAAAATAACAAGTTAATGTTGTTTTCCACGTAAAAAGGAATTGATTAGATATAATGTACAACAGTCAACAGGGATTTTTGAGAAATTGCGGAATAATAAGATTTTGAGAGTTTAGACTGTAACCATGGCAGTAAGAAACACATGAATACATTCGTTTTTATTGTAGTATAAATCAACTGCTTTGTGGTGTCACACCATTCTTTTGAATCAGTATATACGTCATATACAAAATTTAATCTCTGGGTTTTATTACATTAATTAGAGGAACAAACACAGCACTAACAGATGAAACAGCTAACGTTGTTTTATACCTCTGGCAACATTTTTTTTTTATTCTTAATACGGTACTACACTCATTATCAACTTTTGTATGGCAAATGATCAGCTTTGTTTGGAATCAAGTATGATAATATATTTGTACAAACAACTTAATTGAGTTGAAACAATAGTATCAAGCTTAATCAACACAAAGTGACATGCTGATATTTACATTATTATCATGCATACATGATAAGTATTGCAGTCAATGACGTAAATTTCTAAATATGGAGGAAAAAAAAGTTTAATTGATTTCAATAATATCACCTGATAACTTTATTGTAAAAAATCTTAGTATGTTCGATTTTAATGCATGCTAAAATAAAACAACACTGTTGCAAGAAAAATACTAGTCATTTTAATACATTTTGAACTCGCTTACGCTTCTTTCGCTTACAACTTATTAGAAGGCAAATGTGCAACGGCTTTGTCATCCTTATAACGAGATCAAGGAAAGACAAGACTCAAACAGTGTACTTGGGTTGGATAAATGAAAACGTTTAAAGCATCTTGTTAAATGAAATCTCGGGATATTGTTTTTTTTTTACAGAAAATTTAAAAATATACTGACATCGTAACACTACCCACTTAGTGTATTGTGACATCGTAAAACTGCCAGTATAATGGCATCATGACACTTTCCGATCAATGTCTTAGGACATCGTTAAACTACCCCTTTAAAAACATTATGACATTTCAAGATTAATGACATCTTGAAACCTCCTGCTTGATGACATTTTAAGACTTTCTTTTTAATGATAACGTGAAAAGACCAGTGTATAATATCGTGAAACTACTCGTTTTTAAACATAGTGAAATCACAATTTTGATATCGAAAAACTGTCACTAACTTAAAATCGTTCAAAAACCAGATTACTGACATTATGACACTTTTAACATTATAATGACATCGTTAAGTTAATTATTTACCGCGAAAAAAGTATATATTATTGAACAATTGAAAATGTGGTATGATTGTTATACTTTAGGTACATACACCATTTAATAATATAAGAAAAAAAATATCTGTTTACTGTTTCATTCGATCAAACATTTCCTATATTGAAAAAAAATACAGCGTGCTGTAAACTTTATGTACAATATCGGTATGCAGTATATATATAATTGCTTGTTTGAGGAAAGGTAATTAAGGCAAAGGGAACCATCAAGTTAAACTCTAATAATACCATCGTCAAATATTTGCTGAAGCCCTTTTCAAAAGAAGTATTATAAATGACATTTGTTGCCATGCATTTTACAGAATTACAGTTGTACGAAATTTTAATGTTTGAAAATAAAATAAAAAAGTAAACAACAAAAAAACAGGAGGACGAACTGAGGACCATTATATTACAAAACCTACGCTTCATAAACTTTGTCATCTAAGATATATGACTCTGTCCTAATAATGTCCAATTTGTTGACAGCACATCCCATTAAAACATGACAGGGGAAGTTACTCTAAGCCAGAAAACCTCATTTGGTTGTTTCCTCCAATTGAAAACAAAATCTGAGTTGAGCACTTCTTCGCGATTAAAACTGATGCAATGGTACCCTTTGCCTTAACACAATAAAGAATTAATCAGGAATGTGAAGGAACTATGACAGAGGGTAAGAAGATACATAGGCAATGAACATTTAATAGATACAGATAACATCAAAACAGCGGTAGTCAATAGTCTTGCATACTACTTAACATTTCTTTGATCCTATCATTAAATATTATTTTAAACAAATTTCTCATCAGTTTAAATCTATCATTAACCATTTGCTCACAAACTTACTCAAACATCAAACTTCTATATTGATAATATTATGATGCATAACAAAACATGAACAGGCTTATATTACTTAATTCAGCCAATCGCGTCCTTTAAATAGAACATGTGACAGTACAAATACCAGCTCCACTGACATTATACTGTAAAAGTGGTAATTTTTGCGTGCGGAAATGTTCACGTTAAGACTCTTGAAACAAATTGCTATGTGGAAATTTTCGCATTAAAAAATGTAAGAAACTTATATATCCTATAAAACTGGGCTTTATATAATTCATTAATATTTATTCGCGAACAGATATTTTCCCGCTAATTAACTCCACGCGGAAAACGCGAACATTTCCTCACCGCTAAAATGTCAACTTTTACAGTAAACTGAATGAACAGCAAGGGCGTTGATAGAGAAACACATTTTTATACTTGAAGTTTCTTCTTTATACATTGTATGCACCAACTGTTACATGTTCATGCATATAATACAATATACTTTTTTTATTGTCATTGTAGAAGGGAAACCCGATTATTTGTTTCCCCATGACAAGTTTCACGATGGAGAATAATATGAATAGTATTGAACAATTGTTAAAACGTGAGTTCAACTGCGTAACTAGAACAAATGTGTTGTTTTGTTGATAAACATATAAAAAGTATGCAAAATATGAACCACATTCTCTCTTAAGTCATTACAGCTTACATACTTAAGTCATTCTATATTCCACATGACAGTCATTTGCATATTTTTTTTTATAATTTTTACACATTCACACACTATCATTATTATATAAACACTTCTATTTACAATGGAACTTTCATCCTTAACGCTTACTTATTTGCTCTTTACATAGTGTTAATTAATTACACAATTCTATAAATAATTAATTCGTATGACAATCGCACTCACACATGTTGATCGTGGTGGGACAAGATGTACGGTAACATACATGGAACGGTTCACGCTGAAGTCGTAATCACAACTGGCTTAAGACTTGTAAGCGACATATATAAAATACTCAATGTAACTTGTGCCAAGCTGTGTGACTAGCTTGATCTGTATGACAATGTAAGTTGATACTTTATACTGAAAAAAACACATCGGACAAGTTTCTATTTAATGTTTATTTTCTGCAAAAAGCCGACCGTACTAAATATTTGATGATTAGAAACAGAGAATGTCTTCAAGCAATGTATGCATATTTTAAAATAAACATATATTAACATAAAAATGTCATGGAGTCTTAATTGTTTATACAAGTTAAGGATAGATTTCTTTCAAACATATCTAAAACGAACTGCTTTCGACAGTCCCTCAAAGTTGTCGTATATGTAGAAGTTTTCCTGCTAAAAAAATGAATACGATAGTTTTATAAGTATTGTTTAGTTCAAACAACAAACTGTGCGGAATTTTGGAAAATCTACAAATGTTTACAATCTTAAAGGACAGAAGGAAATAATATCAAAATAAATTTTGAGCAATCACACGTTTCACACAGTTTTTGAATTACCGTTTTCATGTTTTCAGTGTCGACAGAATACGTTAACGTGACTTAAAACATTGGCACGGTCTTCTTTTTTGTACATATAAAATACATTTTTCAAACAGAGCATAATCAAAGGAAATCTACTCCGTATATATCAACTTCTCTATAAAGAGTATGATCAACGGGGGCTTTCTTTATTTATGAATTACAACTTTTCTATAAAGAGTATGATCAACGGGGGCTTTCTTTATTTATGAATTACAACCTTTCGATGAAGAAGGTTATCAAAGGGAGTCTACTCTACACATAGAATGAGGACCTTTCTAAAAAAGAGTGTGATCAAAGGGAACCTACTCTAACATTTAGAAATAAACCAAATCTCCAAGGTACAGTTGAAACTCTGCATACATTTGTTACGTACATCAACAATAAGGAAAGTAAAACAAAAATATTGGGATACATCTTAAACATTTTGAAATGAATGCAGCTGTAGATATTCGCAAAGGTTAGAACATACCTTATATTGATATCGATGTGATAAACAATGACGTAAGAGAATGGTTAAACAGTGTACAGGAATGTTTGTAGTAGTTGATGATAAACATGAAGAAATACTGATAATCGATGGATACATGGTGATGAGTTTAAATGATATGTACAAATGGGAAGTTGGTTATAAAGGTCACGCATGTGTCATGATGCAAATGGTCACCTACAGGTGTCAAACACAATCGATAGAAGAGCCAAAAGGATCACTAGACCGGATGCGTAGAACGTGTGTCCACCATTGCCTTGTTGACTCGGATATAAACCTGTAACACACGAAAAACAAAATATGTGATATAAAAGAAATCTTTTTTTTTTACATGATTGACCCATTTTACTAATAAATGCGGCCTTCTCAAAAATATCTTTTATTTTTCAAACATTTAGAACAAATAATCACTTCCATGAAAATTATCGAACCTAATGATACGTAATCTTTTTTTTCTGAACAGATAAAAAAAAACATAGGTACCACTACAGTAAGGCGGTGTGGTATTGTATTCTTACCCTGATTATGATAGTCCGGCTGAGTGTCGATCCTATGGATAGAAATAGAGTCTACACCACCATTGTTTTGTTGGTTCTGCCGAGGCTGCTGTTGTTCAAAGGTTCGATCTGTAGTGGTTGTTGCTGGATCAGTCTTGGGGGGCAAGTACTCTACAAAATAATAAAAAGGAAGGTGTAGCTCTAGCTGAATAAACATTCGCAGGACAGTATATAACTTGGCTGGGAGGTAGCTGTATGTAGACAGGTTGTAAGATACTGTTTCATAAGTGTGTTATACTCCTAATGAAGAAAAAAGTCATGAACATGAACGTATGATCTAGATATATTTTTGAAATGTCAGGGTATTTCGTCAGGTTGTGTTTACGTACTTAGTCGCTATCCATTGAAGGCGGGTTTCCCCTGTAACATATTCGACACAAAGTTTACTTGATTCAACAGATATAAAACATATAAAACAGTATACAGCAGTGCACTCAATTTATCAAGTACGTGCTTTAACAAATCGTCAGTCAACGCACTCATTTAAGTTATCTTAATGCATATCAATGTATCAGTCTACTCATTAATAAAGTGAGTTATATTTGTTTCATACTATCAATTAGTATTGCGGTACTTAATTTACCAAGTGACTAATTCTACATATCATACAACAGTGCACTCTATTAAATCAACTATAACAAAAAACACTTCTCAGTGCACTCAATTTAGTGATTTATACCACAAACAATATACCAGTGCACTTAGTTATTACTGCTTACCATACCACGTGAACACAGTTTAGTGATTTCTACCACAAACCATACACCAGTGAACTCATATTCGGGATTCTTTTTAACATCGTTGATCAGCTCGTTTCAATTCTTGTTACACATTATCCCAATCAGTTTTGCGAGTGTTCCCTTTTACAAACCATGCATCAGAGCTTAAGAGATTCTTGTTTCTGATCATATTTCAGCGCAACTTAGAGCGTTCCCTTTGGCAAATCATGCGTCAGAGTGTTCAATTGACCATTTTGTACTTCCTGTTACATATTAGCACGTACTAAAGCACTCAACTAAGTGAATACAATGTACACATCATACATCAGTGCACTCAGTTTAGTGAGTTATTCCTGTGTATACACCATACATCAGTGCATTATATTTAGTGAGTTATTCCTGTGTATACACCAACGTCAGTGCATTATATTTAGTAAGTTATTCCTGTGTATACACCATACGTCAGTGCATTATATTAAGTGAGTTATTCCTGTGTATACACCAACATCAGTGCATTATATTTAGTGAGTTATTCCTGATTATACACCATACGTCAGTGCATTATATTTAGTGAGTTATTCCTGTGTATACACCAACATCGGTGCATTATATTTAGTGAGTTATTCCTGTGTGTACACCATATATCAGTGCATTATATTAAGTGATTTATTCCTGTGTATACACCATACATCAGTGTATTATATTAAGTGAGTTATTCCTGTGTATACACCAACATCAGTGCATTATATTTAGTGAGTTATTCCTGTGTATACACCAACATCAGTGCATTATATTTATTGAGTTATTCCTGTGTATACACCAACATCAGTGCATTATATTTAATGATTTATTCCTGTGTATGCACCATACATCAGTGCATTATATTTAGTGATTTATTCCTGTGTATACACCAACATCAGTGCATTATATTTAGTGAGTTATTCCTGTGTATACACCATACATCAGTGCATTATATTAAGTGATTGTTTTTTGTGAACACATCATCCACCAGTGCACTCAGTTTAGTGAGTGATTCCTATGTACACATCATGCACCAGTGGACCAGGTTTACTGAGTTATTTTTCTGTACTCATCATACACCAGTGCACTCAGTTTTGTGAGTGTTTCTTGTGTTTGCATCCTACATCAGTGCACTCTAGTAAGTAAGTAAGTGATTCATCTGAACACAGCATAAACAAGTGGACTCAATTTAGAGAGTGATTCATTTGTTCATCTCATACATCAGTGCACTCAGTTTGTGAGCTACTCTTGTGTATATATCATCCACCAGTGCACTCAGATAAGTGAGTGATTCCTGTTTACACATCATCCACCAGTGCAGTCAGTTTAGTAAGTGATTCCTGTATACACATCATCCACCAGTGCAGTCAGTTTAGTAATTGTTTTTTTCTGTACACAACATACATCAGTGCACATATATAAGCGACAACATACCATATAAAAGCATTTCCTCCATATCTGTTCCTAGAGAGTTTGAAGCTTTACATGTATATGGTCCGTAGTCGTCTTTGTCAATCTGTCGTATCCTTAAGCTGATGGTGATAGTGTTTTTGTCTTCCTCGTAAACCTCTACTCTATATTTATAATTATTGGTGATCTCTACGCCATTTCTCTTCCAAGTACTATACACTTGAGGGTTAGCCGTCACTCGGCATTCAAGTATTGTTTCTTTTCCCTGGTATTGTCCCATGCGTTTTGTTGGCAAAAATATTTCTGGAGCAACTGAAAGATGAAACGTGAAATAATTACATGAAAGATCATGAGTGCTGAAAGATTATCTGCATATGATATCTGATACGAATTTGAAAACATCATTCATTGAGTAATTACGAAAGTTGTGTTATACGTCATGCTAATTTTAGAGTGTTAATTGTATATCGTGTTTGTTAAGATGATAAAGCAGTGTTAAATGACTTTGTGTACTTCATTATTAAACAGAATGTGCACGATCGTGTCATAAACATTAACCAATGAGTAATTTAGATACAGAAAGTCATATTTTCTGTCAACCATACAATCTCGTTAATAAATATTAAAGTTTATTAGAATCAGTTTAAATTGTAGAGACAGAGGTATGCTATGGGTAGTATTTCTCTATTCAGCGACGAAGGTTTATGTATGACATACTGTAAAGATAGACATTTTCGCGGTGTGGAAAGGTCACAACGCGAACATTTCCGACCGTGAAAATTTCCACACGCGAAAATGTCCACTTTTACAGTACTCTGAGTGTAATTCTGTCCTGTGGGTTATTGTATACCAGATTATACAGAAAGAGTCTTGCTGACGATAACAAATGTCTTTACATGGTATTGGCTCAGGTAGTCAAACTCTGTGAAACACTGCTAGAGTGTGATCTCTCTACGACCAGTCTATCAGAACTGATGCCAAAAATGATGAGATTTTTCTCCCTGGTAAAACTGTTATTTACTAGACAGGCGAATCCCCTTACATCCCGTCGAACCCGGTGCGGCAAACCTAGCAGACTTTGGGGGTCGATAGCATTGGGTTGTTACATGGGCTTCCTAAAATGTGTTTTATAATAAACTAACAATGGACGTGAAACACTTTTAAAGGAGCAACCATACCAGGCAAATTGCTTATCTCCAAACTGATGTGGGGGTGCTTACAATTGCTTTGCTATGATCACTTTGGCATGTGGCCGTCTTTATAAGCTTGATGAATTGAGATGCCGGTACTAGAACCATATACATAAAGCCGGATCTTTACTACATCGATTTCTCATCTGTTTTATTTTATTTGTAAGTGTTATATGCGGTTTTACAATGTAATCAGTTAGGAGAAGTCATCCCATGCATACCCAAGCTCAGACACTCACAGATATAATCCTGATTTATGGACTGGGGCAAAAACTAGGCTCTCTCCTACAGTCAAAACCAGACAATAATACCGTAATGATGTGGAGGTAATGATGCCATACGAATTCGCTTGTTTTATCTGTTGTGTATTATTCGCTAAATGTTTTCAGAGCATGTTTCATTGATGTCGCTACTTGCCAGTGTGATATTTTCTTCCTGATATATTTGCCATAAATGATATTTAAATACGTAATAATGAATAACGAGAATTGATTTATTCATATTTTACGTGTGAAAATACATCAAACAATTTTATGCTGCAACATTCAGAATCTACGACGTTTCTTATCAGAAATGAAACGATCATCTAGAATCTGGCAACATATGTGCTATTGTTTATTTGATATTTGTGTCTTTTTTAATAATTTAATGTGACGACTATATTTTGATTTCACGATACAATTTGTATTTAAAACAAATATATGAGTCTACTACTCGTTATTAATTATTACATTCAACAACTTGAAGTTACTAATAAAGTAGGACTCCAATACTATCCTAGTCATAAAATAATATCTTAATATTTTTTTGTATTTAGCTAGTTTTACACGTCAGCTGTATACACGTATGAAAAGGCTATACACACAAATAGATATATAAAAACCGTTTGAGTCTAATAATGCACAAAATGATGTTTGTTTGTTTGTTTGAACCTGAAATATCTTAATAGGCAGATTGATTTTGGGTTTTTTTGTTTGGTTTTTTAAATGTTTGCATTTGCTTATTTTGTCCCTAATACTACATTGCTGTACTGTATCTCACCATCCAAATTGGTGTTTTTTTGTTTTTATTTTGCATTAGTAAGTTATAAGTGCTATTTGGCGAATATTTCTCTCAGAACTGTTACATTTTGCAAATAGTAAAGGACTTTACTCTATATCCTGTTTTACGTTAATTCTTATCGCACTACAGAAGTGTACTTGAACGACCACCTTTGATATAGCATACGTGTATACTGGTTCTCCTCAGAGAGATTGGTGTGTTATGCTTCCACAAGTTCTAAATAGATTCTTACCACGTTTTAGTGCAGTGATGAATTGTAACGTCGTAGACTCGAAAAACAAATAGAGCTAATTAGGTTTCATCAATAGTACAACTGGATTCTTAGCTGTGCTGTAAAGATTAATGTTTATCCAAACGAGATTAATGGTATGATCGCACAGCTGTGGTCAAAGTTTTTACACCATACATTTTGCAGACGACAGCGTGGTTCAGATTCTGGTCCCTGGTAGCTCTGCATGATCGAACAATCTTAAACAGTACCGTTAACTAGTATGCATGACTAATAACATTGTTTTTCAAGATCGGAATTTTTCTCACTTCTAAATAAAACGCATTCCCCCACCCCACTCGATCTTTATTTTTTTCACTTTTGCCTCATGATAATGAATTATTTTAAATCATTTTCTTATTGCATTTTATGTATAGAATTCCTAGAATTACAGGGTTTTGCGCACTTCCTCTTTTATAACAACAGTAGAAAGAACAATTTAGATTTACACCTTTCTGGCCGCTAGCACCACCTATGAGTCCAATAAGAAAGAAAAAACTTTGTGGTGCAGTGTAATTCATTTTAAGTTTACAGTATCTAGATAACCAAATTTCATAGATGCAATACTGTGTATGTCTTACTTTTGCGAAAAATATTTTTAAACATAGTTTTGTGATAATTATATTAAAAACCGTGGTTGGAACCGTGCTTACGAAGAGATTTATTCTCGTCGTTGTGTTAAGCTGATGATACATCAGTTGAACCCGAATGTGATGCAAAATATACAAAATACCAAGTATTGTAACTTCGTGTTTGTAACTTGCAACATGCGGGGACAATGTATTATACACTTATTAAATTGTCACAGAAAACAATTCTGTTAGAAAAAATATCTCCCGTGTGGGTATCTTAATGTCACTTAGTTTCCCCTCCTAGGGGGGTCAAGGTCTTGTGGGTGAGTGCTCGTTATTTTGTGTCGGTGAGAGCCCCGATGCACGTACATTCAACTACCACTCGGATCTCTCGACTCGCAGCTGGGGATATGTCGTTGAAGGCCACGCATTCATAGATATCGTCGCAGTAGCGAGAAATATTGTAGATGACCAATACTTCCCCATTAAGTCCGACCACTGAAAAACACAAAATACGAGTATCGTAAGTAAACAACGAGGAGGATATATTCGTTAAAATTCATTTATATCCCCTAACTTTTTTAAGCTTTTTACTGTGCTTCAGAAACACGCAATCGATATCTGGTGTTACACCGAAGCTTTGAATTTGTTAGAAGTTCAGTTAAATATCTATTTCCGTTTTGCTGTGTTCTTTGCAAAGGAAACGTCTAACTTCGAAATGTGATTTCTCTTTATTATATGGAACAGGCTAGAAGGAGATGTGGAATTACCTTTTCTGTTTCATTTAATAATCAATGCATTTGTAAATATATGTTTGAAGCACAAATATAACGTGACAGATATTTCAAAATAAGAAACGACAATGGTAAGAGATACTTAAATCGTGATATATAAATCGAAAATTGCGTCGGGCCAATGTTTATGATATTTGTATGAATGGCACTTATCTTACATCACATTTTATTTTCAGTCATGTTGCAATTTTTGTTGCCTCCTTATATTCTCGGGACTACGATATTTGACAGGTTTGCAATTAAGGGTGTTTGGTATAATTCTAACCGACTAGGAGTCGTCTTAAAGGATTATTATTATTGACCGTTCCCTAATTGATGAAAAGAACTTAAGATGCAGCAAGTGTTTACCATGTTGGTCTTTCTGCATCTACTAAATAAAATAAAAAGGTATTTCTTCACTTCGTATTTCTCCGATTAAATAACAACAGATTTGATACCTTTTTTAAAGGGTAACCGAAAATTGTTTTTTGGGTAGCCGTACAAGAATCCTTAAGGTTGGATCTCTAATGTTGTGTTGCCTTTTCCGTAACTATTGTCTTTTGTACCGCCTGATTTTGTCTTTGACGTTTTCGCATAACTTTCTTATGAGCTTAGTTGTGTAAGCTAATTACAGATTTAAAGGTGTTTTTTTTTCAATATTCAATTTTTAACTACACAGACAATTCTTATGTTGCTTGCTCTAAATTGATTTTTTGATTAAAAGATTAGAAAAATATAATTTTTTGAATGTCTCGTAGCTTACAGGTTTATTTCACCAGCTATCTTTTAGCAGATCTTGAAGACACACATGCAATTTAATACATTGATGATTTGCTACCTAAATTTGTTTGATAAATGTATTTTACTTCCCTATGACGCAACCTGAAACTCTACTATTGTTTGAATGGTGTGTAAATATCAAATGCCACAGTATAACTCACAGGCGCGCACACACGTAAAATCCGTGTTTGCCTCTAAATATAACCTGCACGTCATTTCCGATAATTCATCTTCGAGTTAAAGTCATGCCTACTCTTCATTTAGCATTTCACAAACTTGTACATTGCACAATTCTATGGTTTGTTAATAGACTTTATTTCGACGGCCGGATAATTATTACAACATGACATCTTTTTCTTATACCCTCTTTGGTTGAATCATAATCACGTGGAGGTCGATTTTTTGCGATATTGACGTCATTTCAATTGCACACATCATAATGGTCACTGCCAAACCTTTTTTTGACGATTTTCTTTAACTCCATCTTTTATAATTATAAAGCATAACGCTTTATTATCTAATATAATGAACTACATGAATATGGACTGGAAAACCTCGACTTCGTCTCGGTTAAAATCACTTTCCCATGTCCAAATAACAACATAATTACCTCAACAAAAGTCTATAATTGATATTATTATATGCATGAAAATTTCTCGCAATCACATTGGTCGGATCAGATACACGTGACCAGTCCTCAAAAACTCATGTAGACTGGTTATCCGGTGAATATCGATTTCAAAATATAATTATATAACCTATATGGAAATTCCCCGGAACCTGTCGTAGCGCATGCGCAGTTAGACCGGAACGCGATCTGTCAGACGACATTTGAAGATGGCAGCTGGCGAACGTTTCTCCTCCGTTACATCAGAAAATTACCAAAACCGTTCAAGGATAAAGATGTTGTTAACATAAAAAGGCCATTGAACACGCAGTGCATGTCTTATCTTAAGAGGTCCTTGCTTATCTTAAGAAAAAAGAACCTAGACGATGTCTTCGAAAGCTACGATGCTGAACTGTTGATTCAAACCTGGCTAAATATTACACAGAGGCTTGCGTACAAAAATCAGAACCTTTAGTTTAGTTTTATTTTATTGTTGAGGCATATAATAAAACAGTTATGGGCTTTTGTGCTGGTAAATATGATGTGATATGAACCTGAAAGAGTGATATTGACCTCGGCTTCGCCTCAGTCAATATCACTCTTTCAGGTTCATATCACATCATATTCACCAGCACAAAAGTCCATAATTGTATAAAAATGGATTTAAGTGTTCATGCACAACCGCCCTCGTGTCTTCATTTAATTGAAATGCACGTAAGTCTCGAGGAAACATTTGAAATGGAGCTAATACTAGAGGAGTGTTTGTCTGCCTCCGGCAGACGTCTGCATGTATGATAGTGTACGAACGTATTTACGTCTGACTAGAGAGTCTCCTCAAATAAGTTCAATGGAATAAAGTATACATTAGCGTCAACACATCCGATCAAAATCAAAACTCAACGTAGATACGACATGACAACATCAGCAAAAGAAATAAGAGATTAATGAATATATACGATAGATCATATCATATAAATATATATATTTACTTTTATCGCATATGTACTGTGTTATCCAGTGAATATACCCATGTCATTTTCTTTTGCGTATTAACCCACATCATTGTTTCAATCGTGACGTCATGCTGAGGACAAGAACATGAAGTCACAGACTTATGCACTGGAGTCAAAATGGCAGTTTTTTACGTTTCAAGGTTGCATGGAAATTGTGGTTTTACACGAATAAATGCTTCAAATCTAGATTATGTGATAAAAAGGATCGTACACTCGTTTTCATTTTAATTAAATGTATGAAACTCGTCACGAATTTTGCATTTTAGCTCGATTGAGGCTCGCTTAATCGAAAAATTCTTAGACACGTTTCATAAATTTCATATGAAATGGAAACTTATGTAAGATCCTATATATATGACTGATTGTATTATCACCCCCTTTTATTCAATTCCGATTTCGGTTAGTTTATCCAAAACGTTCTTAGCATAAAGCCGAAATGTTCAAATTTGGAACTAACACATTTTGATCTGATAGTATGTTAGTCGTTTATTTGCTCGCCTATCAGTCAATATGATGACGTTGCACCCCCCCCCCCCCCCCCCCCCCCCGCCTTTTTTTTACCATGTCAACATAGAGAACAGACATTACACGCTTATGACACTGACACACGTCGACTGCCAAACGCCGTATTGGAAACGTGACAATTATATTATGTATGACGATTTCCAGTCTTGACAAAACGTTCCAATTTTTGGTTAAAATGTCACTTTTGATGCGACGAAGCATAATTATGTGTGTTTGGTAGATTGTTTTGTTATAAAGACATGGGGGTTCTATTACATAACTCCGGCGGGAGGCGACAAAAACTCGCATCGCACAAATGAAAGTTTTATATGGAAGATATATACTTACAAATATGTCGTCATGAGCGTAACCTGTTCGCAGACATATTTTGTGGTTTGCCTCATCTATTGTTTTACTAAGATATCGCTGGCTTTTTCTGAGTGATTTTTACAAACAAGCATGAGTTGCATGCCTTGATTCAATAAGACGAATTGAACCATTTCAGTTACAGCAAAAAAATGTCAGTTTTTTCCTACATGCATAGCTCTATCTTTTTGTGGCTATATTTTATATATGCAGCAAGTTTTAGTTTGATATACAAGCTTTATTTTACGTAAAATATCATTTTTATAGTTTCTTTACCATTTATAAAAGATATTACTGTGTTTTAGAGACAGGAACTACTTTGTTTTCATTTAATGTTACAAGTGGACAAAAAGTTTAAATTGGAGCTGGAGGTGCACTGAAATAGAGTTGATTAGACATATCAAACTGTATAAAAACTTAAACTATAAACTGTAATTCTTTTCTGTAGGATGACTCTCTATCAGAAGTCAATTTACTTCAAATTTCCTGACGCTCCCGATTGAATATTATACTATTAAATTATAGGTTACCAAGTTCTGGTATGACCGTGTACCATTTTATCAAAATGTATGGGCGATAACTCTCTTTGTTTACCTTCTTTCGCCTCCTTGGTGCTTGAAGGGCGCCGATACCACGTGACCGTAGGTGGTGGTATGCCAGTAGCGTTACATATTAGCTGCACCGTGTCCCCTTCCCTCGCCGTGGTGTCGAAACTCGACAATTCGTCGATAATGGAGGCTGCCTCTATTAACACAATAAACACATTACTTCAAAAGTCATTACATCAAGCCGACTTCTTTTGATCTTGCCATCTTTGATATAACATTGTCTTTAATATGGGGGAGAACATTTTAAAATTGTTTTAATGTCAAACAACTCTTTCGCTTTGCTCATCGTTGTAGCGAAAAATGAAAAACGGAGATTATATCTAACGCATTCGCAGAAATTATGTGTTCAAATAAGCCGAGTCGTATTATCAGTATACTATCTCTCAATGAATCTATTGCTGTCGGTGTTGACATTTTCCTCCTACAAAGAGATTGTATTGAACAATGACGCTAGCAGAAGCACGACTCTCCGACGACCAATTTCTGACACAATGGCAAAAACATCAAACGATCGAAAATAAACTGTTATTTACATATTTTGGAAAAAAAAATCTTTTGTGGAATACATGTGATTTAGAGTTTTATAAATCTGAGTGAAGCTCCATAAACAACCTAAAGACTGACTTTTGGTTTTTCATATGACAATTTTTTCCATTTATATCTTTCATAAATTCATTCACGTTTGTGGTTAGACATCTTTCAAAGAACATTTGGTAATATATGCTGTTTAATCTGTCAATCCTATTGTACTAATGATTAAAAAGATCCATATTGTTTAGATGAGATACAGAGAGTTTGATTGACAGGAGTCTGACATTCTATTTATCAAATAAATTACTTAAATTACTTAATTGAATCGTTTTCTTGAAAATTAAGCAGAAACGTTAAGAATAATCAATTCATCAATATATTTTATAAGAAACCTTTCCAAGTACAATTATACAATTATGTTTTGATAATATACATTGCTGAGTGTGCAATTCATATTTAAATAAACCAAATAATATAACACACTATGAATAAACGTTTTTTAAACGAGCTTTATTTTAATCGATTAATAAAAATAACACGAGTTTGAAATTCGTTCTATCTTTAAATTATGCCGTGACGTCATCACAACTTTACATGAACTTGTGACGTCATAATGGAATCCACAACCAAGTCATAATATAGGTATTGTTAAATCGTTCTATATTTAACATACGTTCCGCTGATTGGATGTAAATCAATTGTTCAATATAATTTATAGATAACAGATTTCTTTAAAATTAAGCTTAAGTAATTAACTGAAAGTACGAGAAAATTAATTTTTAATAAGCATGAAAGAGCATTTCAACACGTTATCCATGGCTTGGTTTTCTGATTAATTACCTATCATAATATTTCATGAAAAGCTGATAACGTCGAAAGAGAAAATATGTTAGTGAGTCTGGCTATGATGAGCGTGTCAAGAGATAGTAGTGAAAGTCGTAAATCACAAGTCGTGGATGCTTGCTGGCAGCAACTCCGCCGCAGCGCCTTGCATTATAGGAAGTAAACTTGAGTTTGTCGCACGAGATATTATCAGTTAAGGTGGACATTGGATGCCAGGCACATCCTGACAAACCATTTATTATAAACGTCACATTAATTTCAGTAATCATGACATTTGTAACTCGGATCGCAACCGTGCGAAAATAATTGGTATATCGGGAAAAAAACAAGGATATCGGATTTATCGATCAGATTCCTTAAGAAAAAGGACATCGCCATCACGGATGATAAAGGGCTGATCTCTCTCTGGAGGAGAGGAGTAATTTGTGGGGAGAGGGCTATTTCCGAACCGGTATTTCATTTAACATTGACATGTGAATTGAAAGAAAATCAATAAAGAACATTATTTACCAACAAAAAAGGATATCACTGTATCTACTATAATTCTCTTTACTTAAAATACATGGTTTGTCTGCTTTTATGTCCTTTTAACAGCTTTGATCATTTAAGCACGAGCCAGGTTTGGTGGTGGAGGAAAACCGCAGTACCAGAAGAAAAAACCACCGACCTGTGGACAGTACCTGGCGATTGCCCCACGATGGCCTCAAACCCGTGATCCAGTGATGGAGGGCTAGTGGTAGCAAAATGTCAGACGGCTTAACCACTTGGCCACCGTGGCCACTCTATAGAAGAGCACTATGGCATGAAGAGCTAAAACACGATGACCATTCAGAAGTCTTTAAATGTGATATTTTTCACTCATTACCGATACGATATCCCTGTTGTAAAGTGGTGTGAGGTACAGGTCGGAGATTATGAACCAATGTAACTACTGGGTACGAAAAAGAGAACGTTTGGTCGTCACTTCTACTTAACTCGGTATATCAATAAATAAGCTTGGCGACAGTGCAGACAATATAATTTGCATCGTCTTCAATATATTCAGATAGAAATGATTTCCTTGCAGCTTTAATGTTTGATAAATGTGATCTCCAAACCAGGTCGCGTATGTGTGTTTTAAGCCATGTGAAATTTAGATATCTAATTACATGTACGTAAAACATTTAGTTACATTTATACAAACACTGCAGTATATATTTTTTGAAGAACTTAAAACGATTCTATTTTCATCAATAAAGTGTTTTGACTGACAAACAGAAATAAAATAATCATTTTGATGTACCGCAGACTCCTTTGATCTCTTTGTGTTGTCATGATAAGGGCAAGTCAGTAACGTTGACCTGTAAAATCATAGTTATGTACTCAAAAGTGGTTATGTTTTCCATTCCAGACAAAGTTAAACATCAAACTTATGCGATGAATCCGATTTTTGTTTACCATAACTGTGGACTTGTTATACTCACTTAAATAAACAATAAAATGCACCAGGAGATATAACACGTTTTGCAATAAAATGTAACAACATCATAAAGACTCCACAAAACATTAAGTGGGCGTTAATGTTTTGTGTTTAGTTTCATTGACAATCAATCAAAATAAGACTTACTAAGCATAAGACATAGTAAGTGTAGACGATTGAACTCATTTTCGTCAGAGAGGTGTTAATCTCCGGCTGTCACCGGAAGCGTGTAGTAGTCATGTGACAATCACATGACAAGGGTATGACTTACCATGGACGTAAAGCACGATATTTTTAATTTTGACAGGATGAGTGTTGATCTGACACATGTATTTGCCGCTGTCTGACGGCTTGACATCTCGTATAAACAGATTCCAGTCGTTCGTATACGGTCTTTCTAAACTGATTCTGTCATCGGAGATTACCCGTCGCTCTTCTAGGGTGAGAATCTTTTCACGGGGATCAAGCCAGGCCACCTACAACACATAAATATATGCAGGCGTAATTACCAAGGGGACAATAAATGCAGTGATATAGTACAGCCAGCCAATGTGTTCAAGCACTTGGCACTAGTGACAGTTGCCTGATTGCTTCCTATCATATGGACAGTTCAAGGACGTCTACAAACCAATGTTGTCTGGTGCGTATGTACCAGGTTAACCCGTTATATATGCGAATCTTGGGGTGAAAAATCTGAAAACGACTTTCGCAATACCTTCTAGCTAATCCAAAGCGTTCATAAAAATGAGTTATCAATTTAATGTATTTTGTTCTATTGCATATAAAAAGTATATTATTAAAAAAAAAGGAAAAGTCCAATTATCTCTCTTTCATTTTGAGTGATATGAAGAACTTTTAAGGCTATACACTAAAGACAAAGCAATGGAATGACATGAAGAAATAAACACCGGTTATTTATTTGTTAATGTTATCAAGAATTATTCATATTGCAAAAGGATTAAGCTTAACACCAATTTCATTTGAAATTATTTCCTCATCGAACAGACGATGGCTGGTTTTCCATGTAGTGTTAAGCTAGACAATGAATGGTGTTGAAACTTTGACATAGTCACTAGAAAAAAGAAATAAGGCAACATCTTTTTAAAAACAAATTAAGCAGAAAGCTTTATAAAGTAAATAGTTACTGCAGACTGCACCATAAGGCCATTTTCTGGATTATGGACTCCACAGTTATACTTAGATCAAACGAATGCTTGCAAAGTAAAAATGTAAGTTACACGTATACTCAACTTGTTTGGAAACTTAAACAAGCACTTGTCTCTTTTTGCTGATTATACATATTTTGAAATAACACATAATTTAAGTTTAAACGTTTTTTCTATCGGTTCGAGTAATTGTTTCCTTATATATTTATATATCTTGTGATGTCTTCCCTGGATTAGCCTTTGTCTGCATTCACGAGGTCCAGCAGTAATCGTATTCGTGCGTCTGTCTCATACATAACAATTAACAAAGTACAAACTGGTAACTAAAGGTACACGTATAAATGTACATATATCAATCTAGGAATCACTTCTGACGGATCATGATGGCGTATTAATTGAAGAGCAATTTCCAAGTACATGAAGGTACCGATATAGAAATAGCGCACTAAACGGCTGCACAGAGGGGAGAAATATCTCGCCTTGGAGACTGTTTCGCTGTCTAATGTTCTACAGCATTTCAAACTACGTTATTAAGCTATTGTTTTGCACGGAAACGCTGCCTCTTGGAACAAAAATGAGTGGTTAAAAATTGTACTACAACGAACATTGGGTATCTTAGTAGCTAGTTGAGAATGGTCCATTGCTACATGTAGCAAGGAAAAACAGATATGTAGCTTTTAGCTGATATTCTCTGCTTAAAACAGAGGCTTCAAATCTTCATTTTGATCCGAGTGACCAACTTCTTGACGAATCGGTTTCATATTTTTCCAAACAGTTTTACTTCAGAACGCGGTATGTCAGTTCTTATGAAATCAGAAGAAATAAAACTAATTAACCATTTACATAAGAAGTGACCTCTGCTATTTTACTTATATTACATGTCTATAAAGATGATAAATATATGAGTTGTAATAGAATTAACACGCTAGTAATGTTAAATAACTACATATATATACAATATTATTCTTTATCTTATATCGAAAGTGCAATGTGGTATTTAGATGTGTTGATAATATTTTTGCCATTAAATCTCTTAAGTCATTTATTAATAAATTTGTAGTGGAAGGGTGTTATTGATCTCGTTGTAATATATGATCCTGCATTTTTCACAACCTATGTTTTATTCCACTACTCTCAATCACATTTATTTAGTGATGTATTTATTTACTTAAGACAGAAACCTTTATTTTGGAATTCTTTTTGTAAACAAATTCAAATAAGTCGAACGTCAAAGAAAATATTTTCTTGTAAACAATTTTTTGAGCAAAATGAAAAATATTCACGATAAATTCGTGAGAAAGTTTTAATACCTGGTTGACAATATCTTTGTCGAGTTCCTAGGCAAGATTTCCCAGCAACCTACTGGCAGACAAATGAGAACAAACCATGCCCCTCTCTTGACCGATTTGTCTTTTGTTTCCATAGAAAGCTTAATTGATCAAAAAGCGTATGATTAAATCTAACAAAGGCCTTACCAAATCCTTTAATATAGCTGTCAGATTTATGTACAATGCATACACCGCTTACCTTGATATTTTTTTCTTTCAAATGACTTAAAGGGACAACATACTATTCAGCTGTTAGCTTGACGATTCCAATTTTCTTAACGTGAGCTTACCGTTTCTTGAAAGTTACACCCCTGTTCTCAAACATACTCTAGTAGCATGTTAACATATAGCAGTTGATATTATCAGGCTTCCTCGAAATATTAGACAGATTTTGAATGCTGACGAATAAACCTTACAATACATGGTTTGGGGGGGGGGGGAGTTTGATGGAGACAATGAGCATGTTTAACGTTCACCATAATGATATCATTTGAAAATACACCTTTTCCTTTTGCAACATGAACGTTTAGTTTTTTTCTTATGTCCATTTGTGTGTCCTGTGATTTCTTTGTCCCTAACCCAGTTTTCACGCCGCGGACTTCACATATCTTGGACTTGACCTAGATTTAACATAACACGTGTCTTTGATGAAACAGAAGATGCATACCTTTTCGAAATGCATGTACCCTTGTACATTTTTAAAGGTCTCTGCATTTCCTATGTTCATACATATATTTTGCCGTAGTTTCATTAAGTTTGAGTTGGAATTTCGGTTTTGTCGACACTTCAGCGTTCTCTCTTTTTAACGTTATATCACACCATATGGAGATATCAATGTAAATATAAACTTACTGCAAACCAATATTCTCTTGATCTTTCTTCAGTAATATATCAAATTGTTACCCTGTTCCTGTGATGTATTAAAGATTTATATCATACCAATATCCAAAATTGTTATTTGGGACAAAAACTAAAATTCATAAAGTGAGTATAACACACGTGTTAACTGACTTCACTGAATCAATTCACAGTATCTAACGAAGCTGAAATTGATACACCGACAGTCATTAACCAAAGTATTCCTATGTAAGTTTGGATGTAATGAACATGTTTTGACACTCTGTCCTCCTAAAATGATATTATCGTACAACAAGCTTCAATATCCTTTGTGTTCCACTTATCTAGTGGACTCAATTTTACTACTCTATGAATATGTAACAGATTAATATTTGAATATGCAAAATGATTTCACTGGTGCATGCAACACATACATTTAATGGTAGTTTAAGTAGTCCTAGTGCATTATTATTAAACATTCTTCATGAAGGTACCAATCCAAAACATGCAACGTGTCCAAAGACGTGTTGGAAGCAACTGAAAACATTCATTGACCTTTGAAAAAATATTCTTGATGATCTTTATTAAACATATTCTTGGTTAATTGTTGACCATTATTCCTTATAAATTATGCATTAATTATAATAAACTCAAAATAGCATTTACATATGGTCTGTTTTGTACTTGGCTTAATTTGCATGTTCATTAACTATCTAATATACAATGTCATTAACAAAAATACAAAAAAATAATAATTGTATCATCAGTATATTTGTTGATGTCACCATAAGGCAATCAATCTGTTATATAACAAAACATAGTTTTTTTGGTTGCGAAAAAAAAAACAATTTTCACATTCGCATAGTTGCCTCTGTTTGACCGGAAACGGGGTTCTACATAAAGCCATTAATCCACCATATAAAAGACACCGTCTGCATCTAAGTAGAAATATCTCGAGTTAAGGAAATAACGAAGAATTCTGGAGACATCAAAAACACGTTTGTATGTAGTTTGTACCAAAATTTCCAATATAGGACTGGATAACGACGTTAGATAAATCGAGTACTTTAAATCGCGTGACACTGATTGGCATATAGACATTATCAATTATCGGAAGGAAGTGATTTGGTTGTATGTTTCCGCGAGGTGGGGCAATTTATGGAAACATTTACAGATTCAAAATATGCAATTAATAGGACTTGGATGATTTCTAGCCCGTCCTAAGCTGTGGTGTGTAGTCATGCGTGTGTAATGCGAAGGCAAGAAAATGGATAATTCTGCCAATACTTTTATAACTTTACGGAAAGACAGAACATAACACTTCGGTAATTGGGGAATGGAGCCAGGGGACGGATATTGTAGAAAATTATGGATAGTTATTATAACTTTGCTGTATTTACGACTCTTGAGAGAGTTACGATCGGAGTGGAAAACGCCATAAAGAAAGCAATATTTCCAGCACCTCCAAAGGGTTCGATCTGGTTCTAAGGCATATGGTGTTATGAATTAAATTAAGACTAGAATTAAACAAATTATATATATAAATATTAATCATTCTTAAAATGTAAATTAAATTTTCTATTAAACACTTTAAATATTATTCAATTTTAACTAATATTTTTTTTATTATAAATTCTATCCATTCAATTAAGCCGTTTGATGAAACATAATTAAATTGTAACTCGTTTTGACGGATGCATTGTAAGAATTAATAACAAATATCTAACGTTTCATATTGAAAATTAATCTTCCAACATATTTCAAAGCAACCATATGTATGACGTAATGTTATTACGTATTAACAATAAACCATGTAACATTATTAATACCTTACTGTCATAATGAAAAGTGTTTTAAAACAACAACAAAATATAGATACTAAAATGAAAAATAATATTAAGAATTCTGCTTGATATTTTCCAAACCTTCTTTACGTTTTAATCCAGAGTTATTTCTCTTTTAATTTCTATGCAATGACAACAAGAGAATACCGCAGTGTCAACAAAACCATGTAACGTAGTTAAGCTTCACGTACACGGTTGTGCTAGAAACAATTAAAATGAGCTTTTCTTTTTAACTAGCTGACGTGTTATAACAGCAGGGTTGTTGTTATAGAAAATATTTGTTCGCCAAAAATTTCATTTT